AACAAGGAACCACACGGAAAGTCTTGAGGCTCCATGAAATAGAGAGATGCTCCATCAGGTCCCAACACCCCTCAGTCTCCCTGCTCTTCCAGTTCTAACCATCATCTGACTGCAGAGGTTGAGTGACCCCAAGCTGGAACTGCCCACGGAACCTGGCTCAATCTCACTATCCATGGGTCTGTCAAAGATAATAAAATAATTGTTGTTTTAAGCCACTAAGCTCTGGGATGACTTGTTACACAGTGACAGGGAACCAGTACATCCAGCATAACTTTTATAATCTGAGAAATGGGTTCATTTTTAACATGTCTAAGCAGAAATCCTATTCGTTGTTCTTCACCTCAGAAACTTACCTAAACCAGCCACCAGGGCCCTCTGACCCTCAATAACTTAGCATTTACAGCACGTTAGCCCTCTCCTCTGCAGCCCACCCTCAGTGTGCAAAGAGTTCTTCTTTGCCTGGCATGGTAGTCAGTTTTTTTCTTTAAATTGAAGTATAGCTGATTTACAATATTGTGTTACTCTCAAGTTCTGCTGTTGTTTAGTCGCCAACTCCTATCCAACTCTTTTGTGACCCCGTAGACTGTAGCCAGCCAGGCTCCACTGTCCATGGGATTTCCCAGGCAAGAATACTGGAGTGGATTGCCATTTCCTTCTCGAGGGGATCGTCCCAACACAGGGATCAAACCTGCGTCTCCTGCTTGGCAGGTGAATTCTTTTTTTTAATTTTTTTAATTTTTTTTCATTTATTTTTATTAGTTGGAGGCTAATTACTTTACATCATTGCAGTGGTTTTTGTCATACATTGAAATGAATTAGCCATGGATTTACATGTATTCCCCATCCCGGTCCCCCCTCCCACCTCCCTCTCCACCCGATCCCTCTGGGTCTTCCCAGTGCACCAGGCCCGAGCACTTGTCTCATGCACCCAACCTGGGCTGGTGATCTGTTTCACCCTAGATAATATACGTGTTTCGATGCTGTTCTCTTGAAACATCGCACCCTCGCCTTCTCCCAGAGTCCACAAGTCTGTTCTATACATCGGAGTCTCTTTTTCTGTTTTGCATATAGGGTTATCGTTACCCAGGTGAATTCTTTACCACTGAACCACCAGGACTCTCAAGTGTACAGCAAAGTAATTCAGTCACGTTGTTCAGTCATCCAGTCGTGTCTGACACTTTGTGACTCCGTGGACTGCAGCATGCCAGGTTCCCTGTCCCTCACTGTCTCCCAAAGTTTGCCCAAGTTCATGTCCATTGCATCGGTGATGCCATCCAGCCATCTCATCCTCTGACACCTGCTTCTGCTTCTGCCCTCAATCTTTCCCAGCATCAGGGACTTTTCCAATGAGCCGGCTCTTCACATCAGGTGACCAAAATAGCATCAGTCCTTCCAGTGAGTATTCAGGGTTGATTTCCCTTAAGATTGACTGGTTTTATCTCATTCCTGTCCAAGGGACCCTCCAGAGTCTTCTCCAGAACTACAGTTCGAAGGCATCAATTCTTCGGCACTCAGCCTTCTTTATGGTTCAGCTCTCACAACTGCACGTGACCACTGGGAAGACCATAGCCTTGACTATATGGACCTTTGTCGGCAGAGTAGTGTCACTGCTTTTCAACACACTGTCTAGGTTTGTCGTAGCTTTCCTGCCAAGAAGCAATAGTCTTCTGATTTCATGGCTGCAGTCACCATGCACGGTGATTTTAGAGACCACGAAGAGGAAATCTGTCACTACTTCTGCCATTCAGTCATACATATCCATATCCATATATGTGTGTGTGTGTATTCTTTTTCATGTTCTTTTCTAAGCTGTTTAAAAATTTTTATTTCCTTATTTATTCTATTTTTGGCTGTGCTGGGTCTCTGTTGCTGCACTCAGGCTTTCTCTACTTGCGGTGAGTGGGGCCTCCTCTGTGTAGTTACGCCGCATGGGCTTCTGGTTGTGGTGGCTTCTCTTGTGAAGCAAAGGCTCTTGGGCACTCAGGCTTCAGCAGTTGTGGCACGTGGGCTCAGCACTCCCGGCTCTAGAGTACAGGATGGCAGGCCTAGTTACTCTGTCGCATATAGAATCTTTCCGGACCAGGGATGGAACGCATGTCCCCTGCATTGGCAGGTGGATTCTTAACCACTGGACAACCAGGGAAGTCCTCTTTTATAATTTATTATTAAAATTTACTGAAGGACTTCCCTGGTGGCCTAGTGACTCAGATTCCGCACTCACAACGCAGGCGTCCCAGGTTCAACCCCTGGTCAGGGAACTGGACCCACATGCTGCAATGAAAGATCCTACATATCACATGAAGACTGAAGATCTTGCGTACCACCACTAAGGCCCGGCACACCAAATAAATCAATATTTTTTAAAAGGCATCAAAAATGAAAGAGCAAATGACAATATAAAAAAAATTAAGGTAAAAAAAAAAAAGAACCAAAAAACAGAAAAGAAAGCCCTGTCTAAGTGACACAGTTGACCTGAGACAGCACCCACAAGAACTGGACAATTTTGGCAAATCCATCTCCTTCTCCAGGCTCTGTTTTCCTCATCTGTAAATAGGCTGTACTTATCTTAGATGTGGCTTAGAGGTTAAAGCATCTGCCTGCAATGCAGGAGACCTTGGTTCAATCCCTGGGTCAAGAAGATCCCCTGGAGAAGGAAATGGCAACCCACTCCAGTAGTCTTGCCTGGAGAATCCCATGGAGGAGGAGCCATGGGGTTGCAAAGAGTTGGACAGACTGAGTGACTTCACTTTCACTTTCCTAGATGTATTAGTTATCTGCTGTTGTGTAACTGATTATCCTCAAACCTAGCAACTTAAAGCAACAATAAATGTTTATTGTCTCACACAGTTTCTGAGGGTTGGCAATCCATTGAGTGGCTTAGGTGGGTGGTTCTGGCCTAGGATCTCCCATGAGGTTGCAATCAGGATGTTGGTGGGGAGAGCTGTCATCAGAAGGCTTGACTGGGGCTGGAGGATGTGCTTCCAAAGTCGCTCATTCCCATGGCTGGAGGACCTGGTTCCTCCACATTGTTTCTCCAGAGGATGATTGCTTGAATGTCCTTACAACATGGCAGCTGCTTCCTCTAATAAAGCAAATGATCCAAGAGAGAGCCAGGCAGAACCTGCAGTGACTTTTATGACCTAACCTTGAAAGTTACACTTTGTCATTTCCACAATATCCTATTAGTCATACTGCCAGCCTGTTCAGTATGGGAGGGAACTTACACATGGGCATGAATACCTGTATGTCTCATTGGGGGCCCATTGTGGAGTTGGGCTTCAAAGTTCTGATATAGCATCTTTATTATTGTAAACAATTTTGACTTCAGAGCTATCGCAAAGATTCCCCCTCCCCCAACCAATTAACAGTTGTACTGTTTAGACATCTGTGGCTGCATTAAAAGCCCTTTCTTCCTTTTCTGTAATTGGGATGGAAGGAGGGCTAATTCATTGGGCTGGAATAACACACAAATAAAGCCAATTTATAAATTAATAGGAAACACTATTTCTCCCAAGGACATGCTTTCTTTTTTTTGGGGGGGGGGCAAGGGACATGCTTTCTTACTCACAGAGAAACTTTGTTCTCAAAAATCATCCAGCGTTAAAAATTCTATCAGTAAAAATGCAACATTCCACTCTTGCCTGTGGGATCTAACTTGTTGGATACAGAGTAGCAGCTTCAATTTCCAACTCAAGAGCAGAGCAAAGGCTTTCTGGATCCAACAGTCCACACCCACATTAATCTTGTAGTTTGCAAGGATACAGAACCCTGGTTCCTTCCACAGTCCACCAACTGCTTGGCTTTGAACCTATCATATAGTCGTCACCTAAACTCTACATTTCCTCCAAATCCAATAATAACTCTACCTTTTCCTCTGTCAAGATGCTCCATGATTGGTCTGCTGTGTCATCTCCATCATCTTCATGGGTCAATAAACTTTATTGATGGTCAATAAACTGGTCAATAAACTGGTGGTGTTAGGCTGATGGACTAAGACACTATAATCTTCAATTTCCATGGCTCCCAGGCACCCCTGGGAAATAGATTCCCTTCTCTCTCTCTTTTTTTTTAGATTCCCTTCTCTTATAGGCTAAACCATTCATCATCTGACCCAGCCAATTTTTCTAATCCCAGTTCTTTTTTCTTCTTGCTATTTTCTTTTTACAAGGAGATATAATCATTTCCATACATTAAAGTGCATGTCTTATGTGTAGAGATCAAGGAATTTTTAAATATGTGCATGGGCCTCCCAAGTGGCTCAGTGGTAAAGAATCTGCCTGCCAATGAGGGAGACACAAGAGATGCAGGTTCAGTCCCTGGGCTGGGAAAAAACCCCGGAGAAGGAAATAGCGAACTACTCCCGTATTCTCATCTGGGAAATCCCATGGACAGAGGAGTCTGCCAGGAGGTCCCAAAGAATGGGACACCACTGAACACAGCACAGCACCAGCTCAAGTAAGTATAGCACATTTCTAGCACCCCAGGAGCCCCTCTTGGGGTCCCTCTCTGTCCACACCCTGCCAATCTATCACTTTTTGAACTTCAAATTCCTTTTTTTTTTTTTTCCCACACACACATAAACATTCATAGACGTTAGTCATCTGGAACTTCCTGCCTCAAGAAATGCTATTTTTGACTTCTGATATTCCTTCTCTCCTGCGAAGGGCTCGAGTCCCCCCCTGAAACTTTTGAAAATACGGCAGGAATGAAGAAAAGTTACAGCTGCGACTCACTGCTCAGCCTGTAGAACGGCGCCACGACCAGTTCCTAAAGGGAAACTCAGACTGGATAGTCACGTGACAGGTGCCGAGCCCTCCAAGAGCAGGTGAGGCAGGTGCGGTCCGGACTGCGCGCAGCCCTGCGGGGCAGAGGCGCGCGGCGGCCATTTTGAGGGGCGGTCACGTGAGAGGACGTACGCTCAGCGGGGCGCTCACGTGACCAGGGGCGTGCTGCGGCCGCCCGGGCGGACCCGGCGAGAGGCGGCGGCGGGAGCGGCGGTGATGGACGGGTCCGGGGAGCAACCCAGAGGCGGGGGTGAGGCGGGAGGCAGACGGGCGGGGGGAGGGCGAGCCCCCAGCCGACCGACCCCACGATCCCTCCTGCCGGTGTGGGGCCGTGCGATCGCCAAGCACTCCGGCATAGAAACTCCCGGGTCTGGCACTGCCAGCTTCCACCCACTCCCTCCCCGGGGTTCCCCGGCTCTCCGGCCTCAGCGTCCCGATCCCTTTCCGCCTGCTGCTCTCTGACCCCCAAGGAGCGGGAGAACCACATAATCTAAGCCCCGGGGGCAGGCCCGGGCTTGTCGCCGGCACCACTTCCTGGTGGGAGGGGCGGGTCTCCCCTCAGTCGCCTCAGGCCAGGGGTCTGGACCCGTAAAGTGTTCCCTCAGCCTCCTCCCCCCGCCCCGGGAAGAATGAAGGATAACAGGCCCAGGACCCCTGCCTCTTTCTTCATCGGGGATTCAGTTGCCTGGGCCCCCACTTCACTTTATCTATGAGGGACCCAGAAATGCAGAGCCCCCTAGCGTTGTCCTCCCCCAGAGATCAGGAGCCACTCCAGTTCCTTGGATTCCCCTAGGACCCAAGAGTCCAGGCACCTCTTCCCTCCTTTCTCCTCTAGGGCCCACCAGCTCTGAGCAGATCATGAAGACAGGGGCCCTTTTGCTTCAGGGGTGAGTTTGAGGTCTGATTATTGCGGAACGGATTTGAGGAATGAGGCCCCATTCTGATTCTGCATCCCCACAACTCCGTTCCCACTCTAGTTTCATCCAGGACCGAGCAGGGCGAATGGGGGGTGAGACACCGGAGCTGGGCTTGGAGCAGGCACCCCAGGACGCATCCACCAAGAAACTGAGCGAGTGTCTCAAGCGCATTGGAGATGAATTGGACAGTAACATGGAGCTGCAGAGGTGTAGCCCCTGGGACCTAGAAGTCCAGCCACTCGGCCCGTTCTCTCTCAGAACCCACGATTTCCAGCTTCCAACCCCCACTTCCACTGGGAGACTGGAGTCCAGCCCCACTGCCCCCTTTTCCTTCAGACCCAGAGGTCCAGGGCCCCATCACTCAACTCAGCACTCTGGACTCCCAGCCTTCCATGCCCTGGGATCTTGAAACTCTCCTTCATGGAGTCTTTTCCCCCCGTTTCCATCTTGTGGCTTTCCCCTATGATGGCCTCTTTTGATTTCAGCCTGGCTCGGGCCTCGGGTTTTATCTTTGGTTTGGGGTGGACACCAGAGTTGCCACACTGTGCCTGATCCTCCCTCCCCAACACTGGCTCTCCTCTCTCTTGCAGGATGATTGCAGCCGTGGACACAGACTCTCCCCGAGAGGTCTTTTTCCGAGTGGCAGCTGAAATGTTTTCTGACGGCAACTTCAACTGGGGCCGGGTTGTCGCCCTTTTCTACTTTGCCAGCAAACTGGTGCTCAAGGTGGGCAGCTGCAGGGCCCTGAGCCCAGGGAGGCTCCCTTCAGGCCTATGAAGACCTGGGAGTCAGGAGGTCAACCCTTGGGACAGCCCAGGAACCACAGAGGGAATGGAGAGAGTCAGCTATGGGCCACTCATCAGCTTTTTCATTCATGTATTTATTCACTCAGCACAGGCTTCCCTAGTGGCTCAGATGGTAAAGAATCTGCCTGCTAATGCAGGAGACCGAGGTTCAATCCCTGGGTCAGAAAGATCCCCTGGAAAAGGAAATGGCAACCCACTCCAATATTCTTGCTTAGAGAATTCCATAGACAGAAGAGCCTGGCCAGCTATAGTCTACGGAGTCGCAGAGTCAGACACAACTGAGCGACCCACACAGACATACACATTCATTCAACAAACATTTATTGGGCTTATGATGTGTGCGACCTGTACTTGGCACCCAGGACACAGAACAGAACTAGGTTAGGTCCCTGCTCTTAGGGAGCCCATGTTGTATGATGAGTGCTGATCAAAGTAAACTCTGGTGACATGATTGTGCAAAGGAGCCACAAGACCACTTCTCAGAGGAGGTGACATTAAAGCCTAAGATGAAATGACAAGAAAGATGCAGTGATGTATATAAAAATGGCGAAAAATATATCTGGTAGAGGGTGCAGCACATGCAAAGGACCTGAGATAGCACCAAGCCTGGTGTGTTGAAGGCAATGAGGAGGCCCACGTGACTAGAATAGAGTGAGGAGAGGGAGAAGGTGAGTGATGAGGACAGATTGCAAGGGGTCTTGTGGGCCTCTGTAAAGACCAGCCAGCTTTACTCTTGAGTGTAGCAAGAGTGATTGGCTGGTTTTAAACAAGAGTGAGGTGACCCGATTTATAAGCAGAAAAGATTTTTCTAGCAAGGATTGTTGTTGTTTAATCGCTAAGTCATGTCCAACTCTTTGTGACCCCACGGACTGAAGCACGCCAGGCTTCCCTGTCCTTCACTGTCTCCCGGAGTTTGCTCAAACTCATGTCCATTGAGTCAGTGATGCCATCTAACCATCTCATCCTCTGTCTAGCAAGGACAGCAAAATGTTAATTGTAGAATCTAGGTTGTGTGTATGTGCTTGTTGACTGTAAAATTCTTTTGGTTTCTCTAAAGATTCTCATGATAAAATATTGGGGGAGGGGAGGCCCAGTAAATTATTTTGGCCATTGTGGGTAGAAAAAGGGATCCTAAGGCACAAAGGCAAAAACTGGAAAGCTGACGAGGGGTACCTATAATAGTTCTGGTGAATGGGTGACTGAGATGGCAGCAATGGCGGTGGGGAAGTAGATTCCTTAATGTGTTTGCAAGATTGAGCTGATGGGGCTTGAGTGTAAGAGGTGAGAGGGACAGCAGTCAGGGTGGTGTGAGGGTTTATATGGAGCTGGGGACAACAGGTAAGAAGCAGTGAGATAAAGGATGAGAAGGAAAGCTAAGGAAGGTGAAGAGTAGGTCATGGGTATGGAGGGTCTCAGGCCTTACCTGGCCTGAAGATCAGAAAGCCCTCTCTGGGGAAGTGACATCAAACCTGAGCTTTGAGGGGTGACTGGAAAAGGTTGAGGCCTGCTGAGGCAGAAGATTCAGCATGTGCCAAGGTCCTGAAGCAGGTGAAGAATTTGGTGGGAATAAAGATGTGGAAGAAGGGCAATAAGGTGCAGAAACCAAGAGGAAAACTGGAATGTGATCAAGTCAGAGCCATCACACAGGGCCTTGAGGGCCAAGGTGTGCTTTTGATTTTTCATCCGAGGTACCAGGGAGCCATAAGATGGTTTGTGAACAGGGCAGTTGACAGGGACGAGATCCACACTGCAGTTTATGAGGCTTATTCTGACTGAGAGTGGAAAAGAAACTGCAGAAGGGCAGGAGGGAGACAGAGTGTGAGAATGGAGGCTGGGGGCCAATCGCCCCAGGCAGTAGGGACAAGGCTCAGTCCCTGAGGCCCACCCCACTTCCCACAGGCCCTGTGCACCAAGGTGCCCGAGTTGATCAGGACCATCATGGGCTGGACATTGGACTTCCTTCGAGAGCGGCTGCTGGGCTGGATCCAGGACCAGGGTGGTTGGGTGAGACCTCTAACCCCACCCCATCCCCCTGCTCCTCTTGGGCCCCTGGACCTTCCTGTGCCCACCATAGGATTGCCCCCTCCCCCATTTTGGGGTCGTATGTCTGATCAACCCCTGATCCACAGGGTGCCCAATAACCTCTCCATGACCCTTGGCCTCCTCATGACCTATGACCTCCTAGTGACCCCTGACCTGATGCCTTGCTGCCCTCCCTGGTGCCTCCCTCCAATTCCTCTGGAATCCCTCAAGTTCTATGATAATCCTTTAACTCCCCCACTCATAGGCCCTTGCCCCTACTCATGCCCTCTGACCCCTCCCTGACCCTTCATGTGCTGGCCCAGGGGCTGCCCCTTGGCTGAGTCGCTGAAGTGCCTGCTGTCCCTGTCCCCAGGACGGCCTTCTCTCCTACTTCGGGACACCCACGTGGCAGACAGTGACCATCTTTGTGGCTGGAGTGCTCACTGCCTCACTCACCATCTGGAAGAAGATGGGCTGAGGCCATCAACTGCCTTGGACTTTTTCTGCATAAATTATGGCATTTTTCAAGGGGGGGGGTGGATTTGGGGGCCATGGGAGTTTTTCTTACTTTTGTAATTATTGGGGTGGGGCAGGGTAGGGAGGAGTGGTCTTGCAAGGGTGGGTGCAATAAACCTCTTTCGGACCACAGTTCGGAGTCTGAGTCAGTGGGCCCGCTTCCTGGCTGTTGCAGGACACCAGGCTTCATGTGCTGACCCATCTTTTTCTGAGGGTAACTAGTGCCCTCTGTGGGTCAGTGGCAAGTTAAATCGTGGCTCTGCCCTCAAGGAGCCCACAGTCCTGAGGGGAACCGAGGCGACTTGAATCACCCTTGTCCTTGTCACATCTCAGGGTGTTGTGTTGGAGGCAGCACTGGGCCAGGCCCCAGCCTGACAGAGGCTGGGGCAGGGGGTGGCGGTTGTGGAGGTCAGGGCAGCAGGGTGCAAAGCAGGCCTCCTGAACCCCATGAACTAGGGAGGGCCCGGAAGCTTTCACCACATGGGACTACAGGAAGTTGTATATTTACTGAGGAGGGGAAACCGGGAAGAAGCGGGTGTGCAGACTTCACGAGGACTAGGAGAACAGGGGTAGGGCACAGGCCTTTTGGGGAAGCCCCTGGATGTTGGATGGCTGCGGAGGCTGGAGAGGGTCCAAGGGAGACTCTGGAGGAGGCCTGAGCAAGAATTGTCTGGGAGGAGGAGGGACACGAGCAGAGATTGACAGGTTTTGGGGGGAGGAGTCTGGGGTCTGGCCCTATGCCTTCAGAACCAGAGCCAGCCTTTGGGAAGATGCCGAGCTTGGGAAGAGCCAAGGGTCTGCTAGTGGTTAAGGCTCTGTGCCCCCAGTGCAGGGGGCTTAGGTTCAATCCTTGATCAGGGAACTATTAATAGATCCCAAACTAAAAGATCCCTCCTGCTGAAACAAAGATCCTATGTCCTCAACTAAGACCTGGTGCAGCCAAGCAATTATTTTTCTTTTAAAAGGACTTCTCTCGTGGTCCAGAGGTTAAGACTCCACCAGCCAATGCAGGGAACGTGGGTTCCGATCCCTGCTCTGGGAAGATTCCACATGCCACGGGGCAACTAAACCCGTGAGCCGCAACTACTCAAACCTGCGCTCTAGAGCCCGTTCTCCCCAGAGAAGTTACCACAATGAGATGCCTACACACCACAACTAGAGTAGCCCCCACTTGCCACAGCTTGAGAAAGCCCACATGCAGCCAGGGAGACCCAGCACAGCCAAAATAAACGAATAAAATTTTTAAAAAGAAGGGGACTCTGAAAAGGGGATTATGGAGAATAAGGTCACTGGGATAGCCACAGTTGGTTGTCACCTCTCTGTCCCCCTCTGTGTCTTTGCCTTTCTCTGACCCCCTGTCTCTGTCCCTGTCTCCCTGGGTCTCCTGTCTCCCCTCATCCCCTGATCCCTCTCCAACAGCCCTACTTCAGGTTACCTTTATCACGCCCTTCCTCTCCCTCCACCTGGGAGAACTTTCCAGGTCACTGCTCCTTTAGCCCAAGACTAAAGGTCTTTGGGCTGAGGTATGCAATTTGGTGAATGAATAACTCAGGCCCCATTGTGACTGTGTGCCTGGGGCAACTGCCCCTCCCCCACAGGCTTTCCCCAGAGACACCCAGAGAGGGGCGAGATGGAGGTCTGATAAAGTAGCTGTGAGGGGAGACTGAGTCACCGCCCAGAGAGAGGGGACAATATGGCCACAGGCAGGAGCCCAGGGAAACCATCAAGGGAACTAAAAAGACAGTAAGACTCAGAGACAAAGCACTCAGGGCAGCACCCTGGGGGAGGCGGCCAGACTTGGGGCCCAGCAAGGCCCAGTTCCCCGGGTCCCAGCCAGACTGCAGTCCACCCCCCAGGAGATGAGGTCAGTGAGCGGGCCTCACCCGCCCCCCCCCCCCCCCCCCGCCGGAGCCCCTTCCGGAGCTGAGTTCAGCATGACTCAGCACGGCTGCTAGCCTGGCTCTGGGCCAAGACACCCCGTGAGGACCCCAGATACCAGCCTGGCTGGCCTCCCCCTGATCAGGGGGTACTCTGCCCAAGCTTCTTGGAGAAACTTCTCTGCAAGGAGGGGCCCTGACCTCTGCCCCCAACACCCCTGTGGCCTCAGCTTTCTGCCCCAGCCCGCCAACTCCCTCCATTAGGGCACTTACAGAGGGTCAAATTCTTTGTTTCTCCTTTCCCCCCAACAACGGGGAGCTCCTTGAGGGCAGAGTCCTGTTGTGAACCAGATCTGCCACACAGGCACTAGCCTGGCCCAGATACACTTTAAAAACATCCATTGGTTGAAGACAGACATCCAACCACAGGTCCCCGGGCCCTTCTTGTTTACCCGGGAACCAGGGCTTCTCTGTGATCTTGAAGAATGTGTCAGGCAAGACAGGGACAACTTCAGAGAGGTTACTTCAGAGCCAAAAAAGAATTCTCAGTTTCTGGCTGCCTTCAAAATAATCTTCAGGAAATCCAGTCTCAGAGAGACCCCCCACAAAGTTCCAGTTCACCCCCTCCCAAACTCAGTTCCAAGAAAAAAAAAAAGAGGCTCCTAAAATAGACCCTAGGTATTCCAAGTGGCCCAGTCTATCTTCCCAGAACTCCAAAAGATTCTCCAAGACTCCTGACCTCCTTAAAAAGCCCTTACAAGGCTTCCAGAAACATTTCCCCCCCTCCCCACTCTGGGGCTGAACCCCAGGGCTCTACAGCTGTCTTCTTAATCTTGCAGATCACCTCCAGGGTCTAAAGACCTTCCCCAGGAAGTTTCCAAAAAAATAGGGACTTCCACTGAACTCTAAAGCTGCAGAAACTCCCCCCACCCCGACTTTTGAACCCCAAGGCTCCAGGCCCTTGGGGTTCCCAGAAATATCATCTCACAGTTTTCCAAACTTCTCACGGCTCCGGGGACCCTCTTATCTCCCAGAGCAAATGCCAGTCTTCTGGAGGTTTCCGCACCTCTAAGGAACCCCCAGGGTTCCAGTAATGTCCATGCTCTGACACAACGCCAGAATCCAGCTTACTTTCCTGAGACACCCTGGAGGATCCAGGGATCATTACTTTGCAGGGCTCCCAGTGTCTTCATTAATCGTTCACCTATCAGCGAGACCCCTCCAGAATCCCTTGGCTTCCCAGAATTAGCCCCAAAGCCCTTGCATAATGCGAAAACCCCCAGCCCCCATTTCCCATTTCACAACTCCCTTCTGGTACAGGCACATGACTCTCCCACCTCGGGACGGGGAGCTGGAAGCTCCATCTGCTCCTGATTGGTCACTCGCGGGCACCAGGTCCCGCCTCCCGCCACCGCAGATTGGCCCACCGCTCTCCCTGACCGCCCCACTTCCGAGGGCCCGCGCGCTATAAAAGAAGCCGCCTTGCCTTTTGCAGTGCGCTCGGCGGCCCCGCGGATCTGTCTCTTGCTTCAACAGTGCTTGGACGGAACAGACCCAGGGACGCCCCTTGCTCCAGCCTCCGACTACCCTCCAACCTTTTTTCCAGTCGCAACCTCCGGAGTCAGCCACTCAGCTGTCCGCGATCACCGGGACCAGCCACCATTTTTTAACTCCTTATTACCGACCAATCATGAGCTCCCAGATTCGTCAGAATTATTCTACCGAGGTGGAGGCCGCCGTCAACCGCCTGGTTAACATGCAACTGCGGGCCTCCTACACCTATCTCTCTCTGGTGAGGTTCCCCAAGACGCCCCCAGCCCAACTTTCCCTCAGCTGCGCACCTCTGGCCCTCTGCGCACGCGCTGGCCTCTTTGTCCCCTTCGATAGTGCAGAGTCCGGTTGCCTGGCCTCGCCTCCTGCTTACCATTGTTCCCGCCATCTCTTCCTGCAGGGCTTCTATTTCGACCGCGACGATGTGGCTCTGGAGGGTGTGGGTCACTTTTTTCGCGAATTGGCCAAGGAGAAGCGCGAGGGCGCGGAGCGTCTCTTGAAACTGCAAAACCAGCGTGGCGGCCGCGCCCTCTTCCTGGACGTGCAGGTAAATAGTGTGTGGGCAGCGGACTACATCTCCCAACAACCCCTTAGCTAGAGACCACTTGATTGTAGCGGTTTGGGTACCGCATAGGCTCTTGGGAGGCCGAGTTCAGTCTTGTGTGGATTGTTGTGGCTGGAAATGGCAGTGCAGCCGTTCACTCAAGACGTGGCGGTCCAGGACGCAGCGTGTTGTGTCTTGGGACGTGTAGTTTGTAGGATACTGAGGATGAAAGATGCACGCTCTTAGGCTTTTTTTTTTCTGACTAAATACTTTACTCTGGCAACTACTGGAAAATCAGTTTTTAGTCCTTTCTAGAGTGTCTAGTACTGAGCCGTTTCTGTTTTCGTTATAGAAGCCATCTCAAGATGAGTGGGGTAAAACCCAGGACGCTATGGAAGCCGCCCTTCTCGTAGAGAAGAACCTGAATCAAGCCCTGTTGGATCTGCATGGCCTGGCTTCTGCCCGCGGAGACCCCCACGTAAGTATCTCTTTTCATGTCTGCCCATCCTAAGACCTTACTCAGAATGATCCTTACATTTCAGCTAAGCACTGACCATTTGAATGAGCAGATTCTCTTCTTAGACTCACTCTCCGATCTGTCCCATTATTAGATCTGTAAGTGGCAACATTTTCTCTTGTGTTCCTCAGATCTGTGATTTCCTGGAGAACCACTTCCTAGATGAGGAAGTGAAACTCATCAAGAAGATGGGTGACCACCTGACCAACCTCCGCAGGCTGGCTGGTCCCCAGGCTGGGTTGGGCGAGTATCTCTTCGAGAGGCTCACCCTCAAGCACGACTAGGAGCTTCTGGAGACCAGTGGCCTTTGAAGAACCCACCTAACATCAGGGCTGCCTGAAGCCCCTCTCTGCAGCTACTAGGCAGCTTTTTAACATCCTGGAGCCCTCTTTCAAGCCTTGGACCAAATGGAAACAATAAAGCTTTTTGCAGCACATCCTGGTTTTGTGTCTGTATCAGGGTGGGGAAAAGGTGGGATCTCTTTTCACATAGCTGGCTGGACTGGGCTGGCAGGGAGAAAGGAGTTGATTCTGTTTACTGTTCTAAGACATAACACCTGTGGAGTGTTGCAGTAGTGGGTTCTCTGCTTCACCATGCTGTTAACTGCTCTTCCTAAAATGGTAGAGCCCAGACTCCAGGGAGAATCTGGTAAAACCTGGGGTTGGTAACTGGAAGCAGACAGCTGTTAATCAGTAACTAGAAACTGGTTGAGATGAGTTATGTTGCCATGCACTTGCCAAGCTCTAAAAGTTACTGTCTGTGGCTCAATTCTGGGAGGCTCAGTATTAGAGTTGCCAGCTCCTTTATGTGGATGATTGAGACAATTACTGTGTAAATTACCCATAGTAATCAGGATGCACACCCAGATCTGACTTCCAAAGGCTGTTTGTGTAGAATTCAAGGCACATAATAGGTAGAATCCGGCCCATGGGTCTGAGCAGCTCAGAGCACATCATGCGAAACGGGTACTGAGCCAGGGTTCAGGGCTCAGCACTATGAAATTATCCAAATGGGAACAGAAGCTTGAAGATGACTTACCAGGCAGCTGCTATGTGCAAGCGGGGGTGGGGTGTGGGGGAAGGGGGACAAAAGCTGACCCCTACCCCCATCCTGTTTTTGGTAGACAAGCACCATGCCCTTTCTGGTAATTCTGGTGGGGGAGGGGACTTCTGGTGTCTGATGCAAACAGTGGCTAACAGAAGGAAGATAACAGGTCCAAATTCAAACAATCAGAGCTTTCCCCTGAAAAGCGATTGGTTTGGAGATGCACATGTAGCCTAGGGAAGATTAGAACTGAAAGTTTTTTTCCACAAATAGCCATCCAGGGGGACAGTAAGGCCAAAGTGCAGAGGCCAGAGTCCCTAGTAGAAACATGGGCTGAACTAGTGCTGTCCAACAGAACTTTTTGCAATGATGGAAATGTACTCCATCTGTGCTGTCCAATGGGGTAGCCATAGGCTACATGTGGCCACCCTTGCATATGACTAGTGCTACTGAGTAATTTAAATAGCCACATATGGCTCATGGCTACCCTGCAGGTCTTTTTCCCAGAGACAGCCCCTTTCTGCCAAAGAGCTTGAGCCAACTTTGCTACTTAAGGTCAAGTCTAAAACAAAGAGAGGCGTCTTTGAAATAACACTGGAATCCAATAGCAAGCCAAATCTCTAAGACAGTAGAGTGAGACAAGGCAACGGGGACCCAGCCATGGGCAGGGGGAGGAATAGGAGTAAAGAGGAGCAGGAGGGTGGGGGGAGGAAGGCGGGGCCAGGATTCAGGTCCACCACGCCCTCACGTCAGATTAGACCTGAGATTCTTAAATATATATGTATTTTTTCATCTCTGGACACACTTCAATCACACCCCTTCTGCCTTCCCCTCCCAACTGCAAACCAAGTGCAGCAGACACAGCACAGCACACATGAGGGGGCCCCTCCCTTTCACCAAAGCTGGGGGCAGGGCACAGCTTGGGGATGGAAGAGCCTCGAAGTGAGGTAAATATGGAGGTTCTAGAATCCAGTGGGCTGAGTTCTAGATTGGGGGGATGGGACCAGGATGCAGCACAGAGGCGAGGTTCTAGAATCAGCAGCTGAGACCTAGAACCCAGTGGTTTCATGATGGGTCTAGCGGTTGGGGGTTGTTTGGGGGAGGGTGCAGAAGACAGTCAGTTGTCCTCAGCAGAGGGATTCCCTGGAGGCCACAGGAGTCTAGAGATACGGGGGAATTCAGATTCAGGGAAGGAGGAGTAGGGTCTGGTCCAGAAAAGGCCAGAAAGGCATCTAGACCAAGACGGTGTTCTCCAGTAGGAATGAGAAGACAAGTGGTTCTGCCCCCACTTGCTTGGCCAAAGCGCAGAGGAAGAAGGGAGTTGGGGTGGAGGGATCCTCCAGGCAGAGTTGGACACCCCAGGGAGGGCTCCGTCAGAGTAAACAGGAGTGCACTGGCCTGGAGCCCGAGTTCTGGAGTTGAAATAGAGGACCTGCACTCAGTGAAGTCCCTGAAAGGGCGCCAGCTCTGGACTTGATTGTCTCATTCTCAGGGACGCCACGTGGTTTCCAGTGCTCCGCGGGGCCCTGGCCAGGCCTGCACATGGCAGACTCTGTATACTGTAGAATTAGTAAGCACACGGGTTTCTAGGAGCCCCAGCATAAAAGGCAACAGAGCAGGTTTCTGAAAACCTCTGGCACCTCGGCAGGGCAATGGCAGATCCCTGGCCTCTGGGACGGCCCGGGGGGACTCCAGGGCACAAGAAAGGCACAGTGTTGTGGAGTGTTGGGGATTCCAAGAGCGGGGCTAGAGGGGCTGGAGTATATGGCGGAGGAGGTGGGGCTGTGGACCCCACAGAGGGTTGAAGATCTTGAGTGAAGTTTTCGGACAGCGCCATTCCACATCCATTCTCTGGTAAGGGAGGCAGGGTTGGCGGGGCAGGCGCGGGAAGGGGTAGTGTGGGGTTGGGGATTTAGTTGCGTTCCTCGCCCAGGGAGCTGGCGGGGCTAAGGGGTTCGCTGGGGGTGCTGAGTGAGCTGGAGGGCGCCGTGTCCACCGACCCGCGCTTGCTCCCGGTGGAAGAGGTGCAGGAGGCGCGGCGCGGCCACTCGGGCGCGCGGATGTTGCGCCGGTCCTTGGCGGCCTCCTCGTCCTCGTCGTAGCGCTCGCCATCTTCATCCGGTGGTAAGTCCCGGGGTTCCTCCTCATCCTCACTCTGGTGTGGGCTGGAGTGTCGCGACAGCGAAGGTGATGGTGGCACTGAGGCTGGCCGTGGGTAGCGGTAGCCCTGGGTCTGTATACGGAGGTGTGGGCACAAACCGCAGAGTGAGCAGAGGCCCCCTACAGCCAGCCTGGGCGTCCAACGTCCCTGAGGCCTTGTGACTCCAGGAGGGACACCTCGCCCCACCCCCTTTCTAGCTCCTGGCCCACTAGAGGGACCTTTGGATCCACTTACCGCGTCAGCCTCGTGAGGCTCGTAGGTGAAGTATTCTGGAAAGGCCTTGGCCAGCGCCATGTGGCGCGCTGACATGTAGTACTTGTTGGAGGGAAAGAAGGGGGTGGGCATCAGAGGGCAGAAGCAGACCCCGCGCCCCGAGATTTGGCGACAGGGCAAGTCCTGGCTACACCTTTAATCAGATAAGCACACCCCCGGGCAATTTCCAGTTGGCCAACGAAGTCCGAGGCTCCACCTCTTATGTAGATAAGCAGGGCTATGAATGGACAGCCTCTGAGCCACACCCACTAAGAGGGTGGGATTCTCCAATCAGGTACCTCTTTGGCCACACCTTATGCAAATAGAGAACTTCCAACCCAGGTATCTTCTGGACCTTAGTTTCTTAAAAGGACAGCAAGCGTTACAAAAAAGAGAGCGTGCCCTTTGTGCCAGCTTTCGAGGCTTGGGGAATCAGACACCCAGAGTCGGAAGTGACTGATTCACCGGCAGAGGACAGGGAGGGGAGTTATACCCGGCCTAGGTATTTCCAGTCCAGAAGGTCAGAGAGGCGCTCCGTTCGGTTCCGCTGGATAATGCGCTGCCTTCGGCTCTGCTGGCAGAAACTGTAGAGGAAGGAGGTGAGCTGCGAGCAGGAATCATCCAGGCTGCGGAATCGCCGGTCCAGAATGTAGATGCCTGTCGGGGCCAGGACGGGGGTCTCAGAGAACAGACTGAAACCTTCATTCTCTCTGGGACTCTGCGAGCACCAGGAGGCCTCCCTCCCACCGGGACTAAGGAGTCCACTCCCTCCTCCTAGTGGCCCAAGAGGACCAAGTGGACGCCCCTCTTTCCCAGTATTCAAGAATTTCGGCTCTCAGTCCGGACGCTGACCGTAAGCTGAGGGGTCTGCGATGTGTTCCTCCATGAAGCAGCCGAACCCGGAGAGGTTGGTGGAGACACTGGGGATACCCATTACCGTGCACTCAGCTGCGGGAAGGTGTGAGAAAGGTCTGCTTACTTCCCCCTCTTTACAGTAGTGTCTTAAATCCCAATAAAAGCTTCAATGGCGCCCTCTACTGGAGCCTCTAACAAGTGCCGGGCGCTGTGCTGAGCAAATCAGAGGCCAGAAAAATCAAGCTGTGAATTAGCCCACGAGTGATAGTCCCTATTTCTTAGAGGGGACGCTAAGAGGTCCAGAAAAGGGAATTCACTTTCCCCAAGGGCTCAGGGTAAGAAAAAGTCTATAATTGGGCAATAAGGATGCTAATCTATTGAACCTGGGCCAGAGTCGACCATTTTAATGAATCCTTACAACCTGTAAGATACTTTGCTGTGCCAGGTTACACTGTTTTAGTTTTCATAGCTTCATAGTCTGTTTTGTTGTTGTTGTTGTTGGTTTGTTTGTTCTGTTTTGTTGCTTTTTTTTGCCACACTGTGCGGAATGTGGGATCTTAGTTCCCCAACCAGAGATGGAACGCCCCCCCCAACACCTGCATAGGGAGCCAGGAACCTCAATCACTGGGCCACCACAGAAGTCCCCATAGTCTGTTTTGATAGGAGGTAGGATAAGAGCTCTCATTATTACTAACCCTGTGTGCAGAGCACGTTCTATACCTCATTTACTACCTTAAATAATGCTGAGAAATGCTTCAAGGAGTTTATTATACTTCTTATGTGTTTCTAAAAATATCTGTCAGCTGCATAAGTAAGCACTACATATGACAAGGCTTATTAAAAAAAAAAAAAAAAAAAGAGGCTAGAGGTAGCACTTCTAGCTCAGTGGGTAAAGAATCTGCCTGCAATGGAGGAGACCTGGGTTCAATTCCCTAGTCAAGAAGATCCCCTGAAGAAGAAAATGGCAACCCACTCCAGTATTCTTGCCTGGGGAATCCCATGGACAGAGGAGCCTGGCGGGCTACAGTCCATGGGGTCGCAAAGAGTTGGACACAACTTAGTGACTAAACCACCACCACCATGGGAAAAATAGGGTTGGGGCTGGTCACATCATTTTAACCGTGGATGAAAACGAAACTGGCAAGTTTCCTAATCATCATATAAGCACTATTGAAAAGATTTGTCAAATTACTCATCACTGAAGAAATACTACAGCAAATGTGGTATTTATTTTGCCTTAAAAACATACGAAAGTAGCTGGACTGTTAGCAAACTGTGCATTTAGCTGTTGTTGTTTGCGGAAACCAAACAGCAGCAAACAGAGAAATCACGTGTGAACTCTGACATCAGCCCTCTAGTTACTCATCACATGAGCTGCTGTGTCACAGAAACACATGAACAGACTGTTCCCATTGTTCCTCTTTCGCAAGGGTGGAGCTTGGAGCTCAGGGAGGGCGAGTCTCTTGGCTCAGGATCAAGGCAGATGCTGAACTCACCTGGTGTGTAGCCCCAAGGCTCATAGTAGGAGGGGAAGACCCCAAGGTGGCAGCCACGGACAAACTCCTCATAGTCCACGGGGAGCAGAGGGCTCGTAGAGGACAGGAACTCCGGGTGAAAAATCACCTGGCAGCGAAAATCAAGGGCTCAGCCTGAGCACCTTATATAGCTCCTCCCTGGGTAGAAGGAGCTCCCAGGGTGCTCCCTGGATGGCCCAGCGAGGATGCAAGACTTGACAAAAGCCACACAAGTCAGTGTCAGGACAAAGATAGGAATCCAAGGCTGCCTGCCTCGGAAGCAAAGGTTCTTTCTAAACACTGAAATCCTTTCATAAACTAGGGGAGATGGGGAACGTGAGGGCCAGGCTCCATCCCTTATATCACACGCCTTCCTCCTAAACCACTCCCCCCGCCTTTGCCCAACCCCACCCTGGCCCGTGCGCGCACCTTGACTCTGTCAGCACTACTATTGAAGAGGCCGATTCGGCGGATGGTTGTCAAGATGGGGTCCGAGGAGTCATCCAGCATATTGTGGGTGCACACAGGAGGGAAAGATTGCCGCTGTAGGGGCCACAAGTGGGGATGGGGGGGGTCAGGGAAGGGCCAGAGGGCTCCCTCCTTCCCCATAAGCCATGCTGATCCTGGGGATCTGAGGGGACCACAATTCTCACCAGGTTGTGGAGGAACAAACCCAGGAGATTACCAGGAGTTGTAGATTTCCTACTTGGCTCTATCTGTAAAGGTTTTCATTTCCCTTTAACCACCATGAGCTGAAATGAAACTATAATCTTCAGCTGTCTTTGAGGCAGAACCAGGGTTAACATGCCTCACAGAATACAGGGAATTGTAGCTACACTTGTTCTGTACTCTGGGCTGTCATCAAAGAAACCCAAAGGGATTATAACTCCCAGCAATTGATGGGGGCAGAGACTGCCTTTCAGGGACTGCTTGCTTGGAGTTACAGTTTTCTTATGAAAATCCTGGATCTCCTTCTCTCCACCTCCACCCTCAAAAGCCCACACTCAAAAGAAACCACAGTTCCCACGAGTCACTGGAGGAAGACAAAGCTAGTGCAATAGCAGTCCCAGGGATTGCTGGGATGTATAGTTCTTCGCAGCTGTCCCATCATTCTTCTCATTAAAAAATCTACTCATCTTCAGTTTACTGACTCCAGGAGCCCAGGAAATTTCAACTCCCAGCAGCCTCATGACAAAAACATCCTCAGTGAGGCCAACTGCCTTTAGGAACTTTGGGAAATTATAGTTTGGCCAAAAACAGGTCACACCTTATCTGAGCAACTTGGCTGTCTTGGTTTCCATTCCCCAGGGAATGGATCACCAACACTGACCACAGATGCCAAAAACCCATGACCCCAGAGAAGAAAAGAACTCTAATTCCCGGAAGTCTCTGGGGGCAGGGAGAGTCAAGGCAGCCAAAAAAAGCCCCAAGGGCTGCTGGGAGTTGTAGTTCTCATTCTGTGGCTGCCAATTTTTCTCCAAGGTTTCCCATCCCTCTAATTAGCCCCAGGTATGTAAAGAAGCTACAACTCCCAGGGCTATCTGGGAACTTAGAAACAACCAATGGGAGAAGGAACATCAACTGCTGAGAATTTTCAATGTTCTTCAAGGAGTGTTTCAGCTGACCCCAGTCTACCCCCAGAGGACCAACAAAACTACCACTCCCAGCAGCCTCTGGGGAAAGACGTAGAGGTAGCATGCAGCAAAGCCCAAAGTCAGCAGGGAGTTGTAGTTCTCCTTTTGTGGCGACCTTCACAAAGAGTCCGACACAACTGAGCGTCTAACACTTTCATTATTGACTTTAGTCTAAGGTCCCTTCTACCTTTTGTTCATGGATTCCCCAAGGACTCAAAGGAACTACAACTCCCAGCAGCCTCTGTGGCAGAATAAGCTGTGGGAAATCAGGCTGCCCTAAAGGCTTCTGGGAATTGAAGTTATACCAGTCAGCTCACACCCTTCTGACTTCAAAATTGATTCCTGGAATAAGGGCTTGGCGATAAAGCAGAACTCCCAGCCATCTCTGGGGTCAGAGCTAACATGGCAGTCTGCCTTAGGGACTGCTGCTGGGAATCGCCATCTCTCGACTCGGGAGTCCAAACCATACCTGCGTGGCAAAGATGGCTCTCTTCATCATAGTGAAGTCCTCCTTGTCCAGCATCTTGTTCATGTCTGGGAGGCTCCCCCTGTAAGGCGAGCAGGGGGATGCATCTGGGCATGGGTGACGAGAGGGTTTAGCGCCCAGGAGGATGCAGGGCTGAGGGCAGGGCACTCACACCAGCAAGGATTCATAAAGCTTCCTCCCAAACTTTTCCTTCACTGTGTTGGCCGTATCCCTAGAGGAAGCAGAACGACAACATTACATAGAGACCAGCTGCCATTCATTGTTAGGCTGGGAAGTTGAGGTCTGAGTAGAGAGAAGCCCTGGGGATTTCTGGGCTGGAGGATGGGGACTCAGGGAATTAGGTCCTGGAAGGTTTGTCTTCCTTGTGCCTTGCATCAGCTGTGTGGCCAGGGACAGATGGCCTTCCCTCTCTGACTTCCGTGACTCATCTGTCAGATGGGGATAAAAATAGAAGCAACCTCAAAGGTTTGCAGTGCAAATTCGATGAGATCATGACAAAAAATGCACAGTGCCCGGCACACAGCGAGCCTTCCAGAAATGTCAGCTATTATTAGGATTTGTGCTAGTGATGCTAAACCCCATTTTATTAAAAGGGAAAATTACGTTCTGAGAGGGGAAAATGTATGGACACAAGTAAAGCTAGCCAAGTGCCACCCTACAATGTCATTGACATTCCTCTGTTCAATGTCCTCTCAGAGCTCTGGCTTCATTTTCTACCCCATCTCCCTAGGGCATTCTGCTCCATCCCCATTGGCTTCCTTGCTGTTTCTCAAACATGCCCCAGGGCCTTTGCACTTGCTGTTCCCTCTGCCTGAAATGCTGTTCCCCAGATATACACAATGCTCTCTCCCTCATTTCCTCTCTTGGTCTCTACTTGCTGGTACTTTCTCACTGTGACCTGTCCTGACAACCCCATCTCATACTCCAGTCCTGCTTTTTTTTTTTTTTTGGCCAGAGCACTGTCTATAGAACTTTCTAGAATGTGAACTCAATGAGGGCAAGGATTTTATTTTTCTGGTTCACAACTGTGTTCCCAGTGCCTGGAACAGCACCTGGCACACAGTAGGAGCTCAAGGAATAGCCAGCCGATGGCTAGTGAGTGGGTTTTATAGGTGAAGAAACTGAGGCTTGGACTTCCCCGATGGTCCAGTGGTTAAGAATCCACGTGCCAATGGAGGGGACACAGGTTTGATCCCTGGTCTAGGAAATCCCACATGCCCTAGGCAACTAACCTGTGCACCACAACTAGTGACACCACACTCTAGAGCCTGCAAGCCACAACTACTGAAGCCTGTGCACCCTGGAGCCCGTGCTCCGCAACAAGAGAAGCCACAGCAATGAGATGCCTGCTCACCGCAACTCAAGGGTAGCCCCAGCTCAATACGACTAGAGAAAGCCCATGTGCAGCAACAAAGACCCAGGTGCAGCCAAAAATAAAATAACTACTTAAAAAAAAAAAACTGAGGCTTGTGCAACTACGAGTTCACATGCTAAACTAAAGATCCCGTGTGCTGCAACTAAGACTCAGGGAAGCCAAATAAATAATAAATATTAAAAGAAAAAAGAAGTCTTCCCTGATAGCTCAGTGGGTAAAGAATCTGCCTGCAATGCAGGAGACCCAGGTTCAATTCCTGGGTCAGGAAGATCCCTTGGAGAAGGGAAAGGCTACCCACTCCAGTATTCTGACCTGGAGAGCTCCATGGACTGTATAGTCCATGGGGTTGCAAAGAGTCAGACATGACTGAGCGACTTTCACTCCCACAACTGTATATGACACAATGCAGGGGACACGGGTTCAATCCCTGGTCCAGAAAGATTCCACATCCCATGGAGCAACTAAGCCCGAGCTCCACAACTGAACTGAGCCCATGCAGTGAAACTAGAGAGTAACCCCCGCTCATCACAACTAGAGAAAGCCCATGCACAGCAATGAAGACCCAGCACACCCAAGAAAAGAAGGAAAAGAGAAAGGCTTGAGAGGCTGAGTGGTTGGCCTCAAGTTACAAAGCCAGAGTGGGACGGGGCATCAGCTGAACTTGCTAGTTGGATATCAGAGCCCTGGTCCTGCTGTCACGTTCACCCTGCCTGTGACTGCAACTTCATACTGCCCCAGGGCTGGAGACATCTGAAGCAAGTGACTTTGCTAGGAATCAGGTCAGGGATGGGTTGATCATGTTACAGATCACAAAACTGAGACTCCAGGAGAAACGGGGGACCCAAAGCACAGAGCTGGGAGCGGGAGCCGCAGGAAATGCTGGGCCAAGGACTGCTGACCAAAGCTGCTTGCGCACGGCCTGGCCCTTTAGGGTTTCCACGTTGAAATTGTTGGTCCGAGCTGGCATGATGAAGAAGGCGACCACCGTCTGCTCGCTGCCATTCACCTGGGGCAGAGGAAAGGGAGGGCCTTGTGTGTGTGTGTATGTATGTGTGAGTGAGAATCACATGGGAGAAGGCTGAGACCACCCACCCTTTTCCACCCTCCAAGACCACTAGGACCCTGCCATGTCCCTTCCTGTTAAGAATATAGTACAGGGCTACCATCCCCACTGGGACTCTGATCTTCCTTCTGAGTCATCCCTAAACTCCCATTTTATACATAGGCTTCCCTGCCCCTACCTCCCCAGGTCTCCATTCTCCTTCTCCTTGACCCCTTGCAGCCCAGGCCTTACTCTGAGCAGATAGTTGAGCCGGGCCAAGGCCTCCAGGAAGACGTCAGCCCCCTTGTTGGAGAACTCGTAGCGGCCAGCGATAAAGAAGTACAAGGTCTTGTCCAAGTTGAAATCTAGGTGCCTAAAGAAGCCACAACCCAGGGTGAAGCCAAGACCCTCACCCACTCACCGCAGCCTCAAAACTACAAACCCCAAAAGCCACAGGGGCAAAGAATATCTTAGGACAGAGGCATCATCGGAGCTCATCATGGGAACTGTGGTTCTTTTCTCCTTAGACAGAGATTTCCTTAAATACTCAGCCGTTGTGCTGGTGCTCAAGAACTCAAGAGACAGGGCCCTCAACTCTCCCCTCTGTTGGCCCCAGGAATCTGGGCTCCCAACCCCCTCCTCTCTTGAGACCTAAGTATCTGGCCTACATACCCATAAAAATGGCCCCGCACAAACTCCTGGATTCGAGCCTTGCTCTGAGCATGGAGATTCTGGAACTCATGCATGGCAGAGAATTTCTTCACATTCAGTCCATTGGGGGTCACGATATCTGAGATTGGGGGAGAAGGTCCCACATTTCATTTCTTCATTCAGATCAATGTGGCTGAATGAATAAATGAAAGAAAGACCCCTTTCCTTTCACAATGTCTTTGTTTCGATAGCTCCTCTGTGAATTCCTGTGGTGACCCAATTGCCCTACCACTCAGACACCTTCTTGCCCAATGTTGCTTGCTTATATTCAGAAGCCTAACCACAACTCCCATCAGCCCCTGTGAATGGCTAACTAAACAGGGAACAGATCAGCATCAAGGCTTCTGGGAGTTGTAGTTCTTTTGTTTCCCTTACGCTGCCGTGAGCTGGGGGAATGAATCAATGTCCCCATCCTGTTTCTCTACCATCAAGCCTCTTTTATGGCCCCAACTGTTTCCTATTGTCATAGAATTAAAGTGTATCAGTGAAAAACTATAACCCCCACCAGCCGCTGGGGTAAAATTCCAGGAACATAAGGAGCTATCCAGCCAAGGGCCTTGCACCCATCGACAATGGATGCTCTAGTTTGGAAAGAATAATTGGTTCCAACACTGCTTTTCTCAAAAATAAAATCCAAGGAACCTCCTTCCTCTTTGTAAGACCAATATCTATATTAGTCAGTAAAAGAATTTTACCATTTCTGAAATTAAAGAAACTACACCTCCCATTAGCCTCTAGGGTATACAGTCAGGCAGCCTCATATTTAGGTCAGCAACCTATGGCCTTCTGGGAGTTGTAGTTCTCTGCTCTTTACAGGAAAAAAAAAAAAAGTTGGTTCAGGCCTTGGCATAGACTACCTCGTTTACGTCTGTGGTCCCCAGCCAATTTCCTACCTGGTTTCCTTTTGAGTAGGTGCTGAGCCTCGATGGCGGTGATCTGGGACACAGTAGTGAAGACATGAGCACAGTGGGCTGCGGCCCGTTCCATGCAGTAGCGGTGATAGATTTGCCTCTCACCTGCTTCCTTGTCCACGTTGAACTGGGCAGGCAGAAAGGGCAATCAGGTTAGAAGGACTGGGGAAAGACAGAAGGTCCGGTCTCTAGTGTCTTAGGGGAGATGGGGGCTGGAAGCTGGACTCCTGGGTCTGAGGGTGGAGAGGACTTGGGATTTGGACTCCTGGGTCCTAGGAGAAGAGGGAACTTGATCCCCTTGGGCTTTGAAGATAGCTTTGGGCTGTCTTGTAACATTGGCAACCCCCATTTGCCACACTCCCAGCTCACATTCTCCAGGTTGTTGTAGAAGTCCACAGCCCCAGCACACAAGTATCGCCCCAGCAGCGTGGCATGGGTGGTGAAGATGGTAGCCACGGGCAGCCGCCGGGCGCGGCATAGGCAGAGCCCGACGCCTGCCAACCACTCGTGGAAGTGTGCGACCACATGTGGTTTCTCCTCGCTCTGGGCCAGGAACTGTGGGGCAACAGAGACAGGGCCGCTGTGTCTCCATGTATTTTGTGAAGACAACCAGTGATCCCCCATGTAGATGGGAAGCAGGAGAGCGGTAAATCTACCCCCACTACTGTACAGAGTGGGTGGTGACCTACTGCAATCCCCATCAGACAAGGACCTCTCAACCCTTGAGGCCGCTGGACTAGCTGACCCATCCCCAGAGGCTGATGGGAGCTGTTTTTTGACCAACCTTCTAAGTCCCAGCAGGGATGAAATGGAAAGACCAAAGTTTTTCCCAGGTCATGAACACAATTCTTGGAGACCCTTTATGGCAGTCAAGTGTAGACCTGTACCCAACACTTGCTGAAAGACTACAACTCCCAGAATGCCCTAGAAGCAGCCAGTTTATAAAATGTCCCAAGGTGTAGGGGAAAAAAAAGCATCTTGAGCCTTTTAAAACCTAAAAGAGGGTCAGTAACAAGATTCCTGGTTCTCAGATAGGCTGGGAATTCCTAAACATCCGGAGCCCCATCTGAAAGCCAAGTCTAGCCCAATATGGGATGAGAGAATTACAACTCCCAGAATTCCCTGGGGGTGAGCCTTCCCGTCAAGCCAGCCTCCTCTAGAGCTAGGGGCTTGCAATTTCCATATTTGGAAGACTGGAGTAAATGATCTGGAGTTGAGATTGGCTCTCTGAGAAAAGAAGAATCTAGGCCCCTGGATGTCCATGTTCCCAAAGATTAGAGCTAATCCCTGGATTAAAGGACTACAATTCCCAGAATGCTCAGGCAGAAGAGACAACAACCACCCTCCGATCACCTGGCAACCCTCTGGCCAGGGGCTGATGGCCATTGTAATCTGGGACCTGGGGTCAAAAGCAGTGACACAGGCATGGACAGTGGGGCCTACCTCACCCAGGAACCAGGTGGTGAGGAAGCCAAAAAGGACGGCGTCGTTGGCCTCCCGGTCGTACCAGGGCACCCCAATGTTGCAGGTGTCCCACAGCTCCCCCTTCCAGCGCTCCAGGGCCCAGGCTGAGGCCCCCACATCGAGGAGCACCACCAGGGGGCCCCCCTCGATCAGCCAGCGCCCAAAATACACCTGCAGAGGGAACACAGGAAGGCTTAAGGTTTTGGCCACCTGTCTCTAGTCACAGCATCTGTGTTTCTCCCATCCCCAGGCAGACGTCCGGGCTCATAGCCTGGGTTCTTCTACCTTCTTCTAATTTTTCACCCATGGCCTTATTTCTCCGTTTGCTGTTAGTTATTCCTCCCACAATCTTTTCTCATCTCGGCTGTGGCATCTCACCCCATTCCTTGCTTCGTTTCTTTCTTTTCAAAAGTTTTGTTTATTTTTGCCACACCCCTCAGCATGTGGGATCTTAGTTCCTGATCAGGGATTGAACTTGCGCCCCCTGCGTGGGAAGTGCAGAGTCTTAACTGCTGCACCACCAGGAAAGTCCCCCTTGATTAGTTTCTATAACGGCTGTGTCCCTTCACTACTTATAACCCACAATGCACACGTCCTGTCTCCGTGCCCCGTACCGCCTTGTTTATCCAACCTGCTAATCATTTCTCCAACCCGCTGCCTTGTTTCTCTGTCTGCTGCCACATTTCTCCCACCAGTCATCAAGCGGCTTTCTCCCGTCAACTTTCCTTTCTGTGGCTCACTGGCTGCTTCTTTTTACCCTTCTCGCTGCCTTGTTTCTGATTCTTTCACCATATATGTCACCTGCTTCCTCTTTCCCCTGCCCCCAGCCCATCTTATACTCTGCAGCCTCCTTTCTAATACTGCCCGCCCGATTTCCACACCCTGGGGCTACCACTGCTGTGTTTCTAAGCCTCCAGGTTGGATTTCTGCCCCCTGCTATGTTTCTCTGATCTCCTGGCTTCCTCCAGATTCCTGTGGCCCAGCTTCTGGGCCTGCTGCCACACCTCCATCCGGCTGAGCCACCCTACTCCTCCCCACGTGGCTTTTCCCTGATGCCCCTCCCCCTCCCAGCTGTTGTCTGCCCTTTTGCTGGGGGGGCTATTCTTAGGCCCCCAGCACGTGGACAGCAGCTGCCCTAGGGTTCCTCAGGGACACAGTCCCTCCTGATTGGACTCCAGACCCCATCCTAAACCGGAGGCTGTGAATGAATGAAGGCAAGCCTGTACCTCTCCCTCCCAGAACCCAACCTGCCCTGCTGCCTTCAGGCCTAACCTCTGTTCTCATCGTCTTCACTGGGTGCCTGGCACTCTCCCCCTCGTCTTTTTAATTCCCGACTCCGCCCATCCGAAACTCTGTCCCCTGGGTCTGCCTGCCTCTCTTCCTCAGTTACCCATCTTCCTCTCTTCTTTGAGACCCTTCTCTCTAAAACATCAGGCTACCTCTCTTCCCTATCTAGACTCTATTTCCCTGTTGCTCTAACCACTGGGCCACCACCACTTTCGGGGACACTCAGCACGTCTCCATCAGCTATCTAATTTGTCTACCTGCCCACCTCACTCTGCAAGCTGTTTTAAGTAATAATGATGTGATAATAATAACCGCGAAGATAATAGCTCACAGACAGCGTGAACTGCATGCCAGGACCTAGGTTGAAGACTTTTTATGAGCTATTTCATCCTCCCAAGAAATTTCTACAGTGGATGTTATCAGCATGTTCATCAGTCAAGGTCGCATGGGAGGAAGCAGAGAAGGTGAATTTTGTGTGTGTGAACCATTTTTAAAGTCTTTAATGAATTTGTTACAATATTGTTTCTATTTTATGTTTTGTTTCTTTGGCAACCAAGGATGTGGGATCTTAGCTTCCTGACCAGGGATCAAACCCACAACCTCCTGCATTGGAAGGTGAAGTCTTAATCACTGGACTGCCTGGGAAGTCCCCAGAGAAGATGAATTTGAACTTCATGCTCCAGAACAACTGCCCTGACCTCCTGCCTCACCCCCACCCCACACCCACCAGGTTTTCTCTGTCCATCTAGCTCTTTTCCTCTCTCTGCATCTGAGGATCTTGGCCTCTTCCTCTTAGGACCATCTTTTAGTCTGTCTTGTACCTGCTGTCTGTGTTTATTCACCAATGTCCTAGAGCTGGGGGTTCACCCACTCACTTCACAGAGTCCTGTATCTCTCTGAGTGTCTGTCAATCTTAGCTCCTCTGTGTCTGCCTGGGAAAGTACTGGGCCATCCTGAGTTTCTGTCCAGGCCTCCCTGTCTCCCTGGGGCTGTCCACCCCATGCTCTTTCTCCTTCCGCTGCCCCCACCCCGCGCTCGGCAGGGCCATGTCCCACCTTGCAGCCCTTGCCATTCATGGAGTCCAGTGTCCTCTTCAGGGCCGGGGTCGGGGGTTCCAGCAGTTCCACCTGGGTCCTCACGCCCTGCTCCGTGTACGGTCCCACCAGGTAGTAGTTGTCACCCCACTCGTCCCCCGTCACCTTTGCCTTCGTCTGCAGCACGGTGTAGATGCCGCCCACTGTGGGCCCAAGTACACGAGGACAGGCCCCAGCTGAGGTCTACACATCTGGGGCCTGGGGAGAGGCGCGGGTGCACAGGAGCCCCGGACCTCTGGCTCAGCGCGAAGAGGGAACTGGGAGTCCACACTTCAGGGTCAGAGGGAGGAGGGGAGAGGGGGTTGATGGATGGTACTCCTGGGTCGATGGGAGGAGGGGGCTGGGGTCAGGACTTGGGAGGGAGGAGAGGGTTCAGGCTGGACTTCTGAGCCTGAGAGAAGGGACTGGGGGCTTTGGGTCCCAGGTGTGAGAGAATTATGGGCTGGGCCCAAGGGAGGACAGAAGCTGACAAGGGTTATCAGGGTCCAGGTTCTTGAATTGCCAGCTTAAGGGAGCTGGGTTTAAATTCCCAGTCAGGCTCCAGGACACAATAAGGGAGAATCCCTCTTCATGGCCTCATTTAGGTTCCCACAGTTGTCCCAAAGAAGCCAGAGCTGTCATCCCTCACCCACCAGGGACTCTGCCGACCTGTCCCCCAGTTCTCTCTCCCCACATGGGGACACAGGCACACATGCCCCTGCCCCTCCCATGACTCCATTCCAGACTCCTTACCCCCTGCAGCCTGGACCCTGGCGATCCATGGCTCCATGTTTGCAGACACCCGCAGCCCTGCCACCCCCTGCCCCCTTTTCTCTCCCAAAACTCAGTAATGCAAAATCCCAACTTCCTTCCTTCTGTGGAGCTAGACAAACCCATAATATCAGGCCCTTTGGAGCCTGGAACCCAGAAATCCAGGCCCCCAGCCACTCCCATCCCAGGGCCCAGCCCCTGACCAACTTAGGACTTCCCAGTCTTCCCCCAATCCAGCGCGCATGTGTCTGAGGCCACAGGTTCCTCTATGCCTCCAAACCTGGAGCTCAGGCACTCAGAACCCTGCCATCCAGGCCCCAACGCTCTCTCACCCTAGGATCTAAGAATTAGGGTCTCCAGCCTCCTCGTGTATTTACTCTCAAATGACCAGTTCCCCAAATTCTCCCACCACGATGCGTGCATCCCATCTCCAAGTGGGCTCTCTTCCAAATCCGGAGTTACATCCCAAGATCCTTCCCCACCTAGGGCCACAGTTCTTAAGTGCCAAACCCTCCCCCCCGCATCTTCTTCCGATTGAGGACCCAAACTTCTGGTCTTTTTCATTTTAACCCCCTCTCCCCTAGGACCCAGGACCTGGGTTTCCAGGCTCCTTTCATCTTACGCGACTCATCCCCTCCCTCCAGGGCCCAGGAGACAAACTCCAGCCCCTCTCCAAGGGCACAGGAGTCACAGGCTCCTTGCCCAGGACCCAAGAATCATGCCATGCAGCCTCGTACCCTGTTACTCAATATTCCGGGCCCCCATCCCCGCCTGCTCGTCTCGTCCGGTCCCTCTGCCCGGTTTGCTCACCCTTGTTGGCCACCTCCCAGGCCACCTCGAAGAGCACTGTGTTCTCCAGGTCGAATTCATCCTCCCAGTCCTCCAGTCCTGGCAGGGAGGACATGGACAAAGTGCGGTTTAGAGGCATGGCCGACGCGGTTAGAGGGCTCCGGGGGGCCACTGGTGGGCGCCCCGGAGGTGTCGAAGGAATGCACTGGGCAGGGCGCTGGGCCAGATAGCTGGTGCCCGACGGGAAGCTCGCACCGCCCTCGGCTTCCTATTGCACGACCGCACCCCCGCCCGGAGCGGTCAGACCTGGGCAGCAAGCGGCCGCAGCGTCACTGAGCCCCTTGGGGCTCCTGCAGTGAAACCTTGCGGCCACCAGGAGGCGGCGCCCGCCCCCCCCCGGCCAACGCCATTGGTCTGCGTCCGGGGGCGGGGCTCCCGCGTCTTCTCATTGGTGGACAGTGTAGCGTTCACTCGGCTCGGCCCCGCCTTCGCCTCGACAGCTGAAGGGAGCTCGGGTGAACGGGGTTTGCTGCTGCGCTAGCTGATTGGCCTCCAACCCTGTCAATCCGAAGCTTGAGGCCCTAGAGTTGGAGTGGGAGGGAAGAAGGTCGATAAGGAGGAAAGGAAGCGTGGGGAACGTGTGGTTGCCCGAAGAAGTGTTAAAAGAGTTTTGCAATCGCCTTAGCGAGGAGGCTCTGGGTAAAAGGAGGAGGAGCCAGGAAGCGAGAGGAATGGACGCGGCCTCGGCGCGTGGGCGGGGCCTAAAAAGTGACACCACGCCCCACCAGGAGAGTTTGCATATTTATAAAGAACCACCGAGATTTTTGGATGACTTGGCAGTCTAGAGGGGCCAGAACACTTCGTTCCTAGCGCGTTTCCGTTTCCGCTAGGATATTGGCGGTTGGTGAGCATCATGGCAACCGTGGTGAGTGTCGGCGTGCTGAGGGCTGAGGAGTCTCAAGCAGGGGGCTGGACGGGGCTCTTGGATCTTAGTGGAGAGGAGGCTGAGGACCTAGACTCCTGGGTCTGAAGAAGGAGGGAGCTGGGGGCCCGGGCTTCTGGATATGAGGGAGGAAAAAAGAAGAGACTAGGATCCCGGCATCCTGGGTTCAAGTGAATATTTACGGTATCAGTGGTCGTATCCGACTCCATCATCTTGTAGGAACTCCAACTTCCAATCCTCTGGGCGCAACCAGTGGCCAGTTCTGCAGTCCTTTGCTTTGAAGTCTGATAAGGGTTGTAGTGTCTTGGGCTCCAAGCCATACAACAGTCTTGGGTTTGTTGGTGGTGTGAGTGGTACCTGAGTTCAAGGGGAAACACAGGAGGGGCCTGCCGTATGAGCTTCAGATCGTGGAGTTGCTTACCAAGTCTTGAGCCAGAAGAAAGATTGTTGAGAACGCAGAGTCGAAAATGGCTGTGGGCACAGAGGCTTGAGATCTTGTCATGGAATTGTTTCAACTGTTTTCATATTCCCAGCACTTCATCAGGGCATGCCCAGTGTGGATGCTCAATAAGTTATCACTTGAATGAATACATGTGAACTCCTTAAAGGAGAGACCAAGTATACTGGGTCAGGCCCCAAGTACTTTTCTGAGAAACATCTGAATAAAGAAAGGATGTGGCCTTAGCTTGGGGGTTGGACATGGCTTCCTCAAGGCCTCAGTTCCCATGGTAACCCCAGTCCAGATGGGGCTAGGATGGAGATGAGATGGTGCCTGTGGTGTGAACTATGACTGTTTCTGTTGTCATGGCAAAGGGGAGTGGATGGTGAAGTGGAAGAGGAAAGGGCAGTGGCCACCCTCCTGAGACGCAGTTCCCATGGGTGTGGATAAAGTATTGGAAGTGTGAGGGGATGGTAGGGGCAGAGTTTTGTAATGACCTCTGTTTCCACGGGATCAGTGGGCATCAGGGGGTAGGAGAGGCTTATGGTGAAAGGAAAGGTTTTGTAGGAGGCAGGTCTGTTTATGTTGGGACGGCTAAAGGTTGGGATTCCTGGATCAATGTCTCTTTTCTGTCTCAAGTAATGTCTGATAGGCTGTGTAGGGGTGAGTGGGAGTATGTTCTCAATCTTCTGGTAGTGGTTTGGGGGCAGTGACCAATCTCCTGTGAGGAAGAGTGAGCGGGAAGGGTCACAAACAGCAAGGGAGGAGGCATGTAACCTGATGGTGATCAGGAAGTCTGAACTCTCGGTTCCAAAGAGAGGAGGGTTTTCCTTGGGTCCTATGACTGTATCTTCTCTCATTCTGGTTAGGAGACCTGTGAGCAGAAACAGGGTTGTGGGCAGGTGGCCAAGGAGTTGGGTCAGTATGCTGGCTTCTTAGGCCTCCTTTCTGTATTCACCCTGGAGAGCCACTGATCTGCTTTATATCTACGGATTTATCTATTCTAGACATTGCATATAAATAGAATCATATGACAAGTGACCTTTTGTGTCTGACTTCTTTGACTCAGCATAGTGTGTTCAAGGTTTACCCTTGTAGCGTGGATCAGAGGTTCATACCTTTTTATGGCTGAATAATATTATGTTGTATGGCTACCCGTATTTTGTTTATCTGTTCATCCACTGATGGATATTTTGGGTTATGAATAACACTGCCATGAGTATCTGAGAGGATCTCTACTGGGTTCTTGAATTATCCCAGGCAGTGTTTACTGATCTCTCCCCACTTCATGAGAAGGGATAGTGTCTGAGTTTGCTCTTTGGAGAGCTGGGGACACAGGAGGCCTCTGTACCTGCTTGTTGAATGAGCTCAGGATGTCATTCATTCAAACCCCAAACACTGAGCCCCGAGGTAAAGCAGTGAGATGTGTGCTGTGCCCTTCATGGGATAGAGCATCCATTAGAGCCGAGAACGTTGATCCACCAGTCTCTCTTATGGGCATGAGATTGACCTATCAGGGGAGGCCCTTCCTTCTGCTTGGATATCCAGAGACCTTAGAGCTAGCCAGGCAGGGGCTGAGGCGAGGGAGGGCCTCCCTTAATGACTGATGCTTGATGTAATTCAGTGAGGAGGGTGGGGAGAGCAGGACCCAGGGACCTGCACATGCAGAGACCCAGTGACAGAGAGCTGGGACTAACAGTGTCATGGGGTCAACCCACCAGCCTTAGTGGGTGATTGCCAAGGAGGGTCTGGTGTTTGGGCTGCCAGCCTGCCTCTGGGGAGGAGAGAAAAGGACTGTTTTATGGGAGGGGGGCAGGAAGGACAGCTAGGACCACAAAGTCTGTACTGTTGCCTCTTCCTCCAACCCCAGACAGCCACAACCAAGGTTCCAGAGATTCGTGATGTGACACGGATTGAACGTATTGGTGAGTGAGTGTGGATCCGGAACGGGCCCTAGTGTCTGCCTGGCCCCTTTGCCCTTGACCTAGCCCACCTATCCAGGACCCCCAAGAAGGGGAAGTCCCGCACACCATCCCCCATCTCTCCCCCCATCTAAGCAGGAAGGATCCTGAGTTCCAGAGCAGATCAGATGCCCAGGGGTGGGGTGGACCATTGCCAGGCCCCAGTCCCTCACACCATGCATCGACAGGAGCTGGCAGGTAACCATGTCTTCTGGTTCTTTCTCCGGACGCAGGCGCTCACTCCCATATCCGGGGGCTGGGACTTGACGATGCCTTGGAGCCACGGCAGGTAGAGCCCAGGGGGTTGGGGTGGGAAGGCTTCTCTAGGGAGGCCTCAGGTGGAGGGGACCCAGGGCCCTGGGGAATGCAGGGACTGTGTTATGATCTTCCAGATCTTCAGCTGTGCTGTATTTATAAAATTCAGCCACACATAGGTCTCTAAAAGATGGGGATGGGGAAAAGCCTTTTTTTCTGAAGTCCCAGCCAATAGTTTGGGCCTGAAGGTGGTAGAAATGCAGTAGCAGCTCAGTAGCAAGTCACCTTCCTTATATGTTCTGTCACCTCCTACCCCCAGGCTTCCCAGGGCATGGTGGGCCAGCTGGCGGCTCGGAGGGCAGCCGGTGTGGTGCTGGAGATGATCCGAGAAGGGAAGATCGCTGGCCGGGCGGTTCTCATCGCTGGCCAGCCGGGTACTGGGAAGACAGCCATTGCCATGGGTAAGGCACTTCTCCAGGCAGTAGCTCTTTTGGCCTCACCGGATGATCCTCCCATGTAAGTCAGGGTCAGGTTCAGCTATGTCTGACAGCACAAAATGGCAGTGGCTTAAATACTAAGGGTTTGTTTTGTCACATAGAAGAATCTGAACATAGGCCAAGTCAGGCTTGTTGAGCAGTCCTATGAGGGCTTCTACCATCTTGCCTCAAGATCACTTGCTTCCATGTCAGGGACACCTTAGGTTGCAAGAAGGTGGCCTATGCTCCAGCCATCCCACCCATACTGCATAGAAGAAGAAGAAGAAGAAGAAAGGAATTGCAATGAGGGTGTATCTCCTAGAGGTAGCTCCTTTTAAGCAGCTGTCTCAGGGCACCCACATTGTGTTGCTTATATTTTATTGACTAGAGTTTAATGACCACACTCTACTGCACAGGAGAGAGAGAGATATTAAAACTTTTTTTTATATTTTAATTGGGACCACTGCTACCTTAGTGAAATGGGTGTTCTGGAACAAAGGAAGATGAGCATTGTGTAGACAACCAGCAGTCTCTTTTGCAATCCATTAGTGATTTAAGAGCTTTTTACTCACAACTCTCCCTTATCCGTGTTGAGCTCTTATCTATCCTTCAAAACCGCAACATCTTTTCCTTGTTGAAGGTTTGCTGGACTCTTCTGTCTCCCCACTACTCTCACCTTTGTGCCTGGACTGTGGGGCCGGGCAGTGAGACTCAAGGTAACAGCTAGGTCCTCAGTTAAGAAAAAGTAACACTCATATTTGGGAACACCAAGATGATTAAGACCAAAGTCCTGACTATGAGGGGCTTCCAGCCTGGGGCAGGTGTTCATGGACACAGTCCTGTCCGTGTAAAGAGCAGAGGCGGCTTCTCCTCTGATGAAGGGCGATGGGAGAGAATGGGGTGGCAGCTGTCAGGAGGGACATCCCAGGCGAGTTAGTACCGGAACTGAGACTCCGGAAGTCTGGGAGTCTTCTGGACAGACAGTAGGGAGCACGATACCCAGGTGCAGAGTGTGGCATGCCTCTGGAAAGGGGACCAGGGACAGTTGCCAGCTCTCACCGCTCAGGAGGGTTCAGTGACTTCCTGTCTGGGACACTTGGCTGAGAGCTGGGCAGAGCCTCAGGAAGGGGAGCCGGCAGAGAGGCCCGGAGCTTGGAGTGATGGCAGGAACTGCCCGCTGTCTGCCAGCTGACCCCAGACCATAGAGGAGGCACTTCCCTGTGCTGGCTCCAGGTCACGTGTCAGGGTCATGGTTGAGCACTAGGGCATGCCTGCCCGCCCTCATCATCGCACCTATTCAGCTATGTTGTCCCCTTCCAGCGCTTGTTATTTATGGTTCCCATTAACCAGAGGGGCAGGCTGGCTTGGGGAGCAGCCTAGGCTTCTTAGGAAAACTTGGTGCTAAGCTTTGAAGCCGGGATTCGGACCTCCACAGTCTCTCTTAACCTTCTCTATCAGCCCCTTGCCTCCACCCTTGCTCATCTCCCCCAAGCCCTGAGGCTAAATAGCTCTTAGAGATTGGGAGGCAGGTCCAGCATGATTGTAGAGTTGTTAAGTTTATGGTCTGGGCAGCATGGGGTTCCAACCCAGGGCCTTCCAACATGGCCCTCCGTCGCTCGCTTTCTCCAAGTCTCCCTGTCTGCCCCACAGCACCCAGCCCCTCTCTCCTGCTCCTCCTGTCTGAAGAAGGAGAAGAGCTGGTTGGGGACCTGGTGCCTGGACCACCTTCCCAAACTGCCTCCCCTCCTCCTCAGGCATGGCACAGGCCCTGGGCCCCGACACCCCGTTCACAGCCATCGCAGGCAGTGAGATCTTCTCCCTGGAGATGAGCAAGACAGAGGCGCTGACCCAGGCCTTCCGGCGCTCCATCGGCGTGCGCATCAAGTAAGCAGGAGTGATGGTAGCTCCCAGCAGCCTCGGGATGCCCTCTGAGGGATGCCAGCTCGTTCTGCGCCCAGGGGCCCACAGGGGTGAGCAGTTCCTGAGGGCCCAGGCCACGGGCTATCTCCTTAGATCTGTTCTCTGGCCAGGGAGGAGACCGAGATCATCGAAGGGGAGGTGGTAGAGATCCAGATTGATCGGCCAGCCACGGGGACGGTGAGTCTGCTCCCGAGTCTAGGCTACTCCAACGGCTGGAGGGTGAGGGTGCTGGGTCTGCACTGACGTCAGAATCCCATGGAAGGTTCAAGATGCAGCTTAGAGTCATCCATATGTCGGCAAGAGAGGGTCGGTTGAATTGAAAGCAGTTTGTCCATTTGTGAGGGGCGCTGTGAGCTCAGTGGTAGAACAATGGAAAAGGATATGGAGAAGAACATACATATGTCTAACTGAATCACATTGCAGTACGGCAGAAATTAACACAATATTGTAAATCAACTACACTTTAAAAAAAAAAACAAACCAAGCAATGGAATGACAGAGGAGGTCTTGAAGTTTCTCACAGTTAATTCCTAATAGTTAGGCTTACAGACCCATTGGATTTATAAATCCTAGTACCTCAACTATACTCCAGTAAGAATTAATTAACAGGACTTTGCCAGTGGTCCGGTGGTTGGGACTCCACAATTCCACCACAGATTCAATCCCTGGTCAGGGAGCTAAGATCCTGCATGCCGCTCAGCCATAAAACCAAGACAAAGCAGAAGCAGTATTGTAACAAATTCAATAAGGACTTTAAAAATGGTCCACATCCAAAAAAAAAAAAAACTATAAAAAAGATTTTAAAAAACCCTAAAACTTAGCCAGCACCCCCACCCCTGCCCCTTCCTTCTGCCTCTTTCTGCGATACCTCTTAGAAATAGCCGCCCTCACCTGTTTGAGTTTCATTAGCTTTTATCACCCAACTGTGTAGTCCAAGATTACCCATTTAAAAAACTTCATGTCTTTTAAGTCTTCTTTCATAGTCTGGTTTCCCCTTCATCTCTTCTCTCTCTTTGTCTTAACAGTTTTTCTGTGGGTCTCTTGTTTTCACCAACATAAAATCACATAACATAAACTAACCATCAACCCTTTCAGAGTCACTCCTCCTCCCCTCCCACCCCACCTGCAGTCCCTGGCAACCACAAATCTACTTCCTGTCTTAATGGATTTGCCTCCGATGGAATCCGACAATATATGACTGTTTGTGTATGTCTTCGAGGTTCATGCGTGTTTGTAGTTCTCTGTTAAATATTAAGTTACAGATGTTAATAAAATGCTAAATAAAAGCAAATCTAAAATTGCTTCAAATCCATTGAACTGATGCATAGTCCTACCTTCCCATTTCTGTGTCTTGTAGGAACACTCTCCTCTTTTTTCATTAGCTTCTCATTTTCAGTGGAAATAGACTTAAAGTGAATAATTGTGGTCAACTTGCACTTTTAGTACTTGTACCAGCCTCCTAAGTTAGTCTTATCTATTGGCAATTAAATTTTGAATTTTAAAAACATGGTAAAAAAAATAAAAAACATGATAGAAGACTCTTTAAGTATAGGGAAAGCTATTCCCCAGATAGTTCTTTCAATTAGAGTTTAAAGAGATTACAGAAGAAATCCATGGATGTATCCTCATCAAAATGAACAACCAGGGACTTCCCTGGTGGTCCAGTGGCTGGGACTCTGTGCTTCCAATACAGGGGGCCTGGGTTTGATCCCTGGTCAGGGAATTAAGATCCACATGCCCTAGCCAAGACCCAGCACAGCCAAAAAGAAAAACTGAAAATGAACAACCAAAACTCCCTTTAACTCCCTCCCCAAACCCACCTGCCACCTGTCCCTACAAAGGGAGCAGCATCTCACTATGGAAACAACTCCAGGAAACAGGTGAGACAGGACTTGCTGAAAAAAGCCCAGACTTGATGACTGTTTATCCTGTGGCGGGGGAGTGTGACATTTTGTTTTCTTAGCTTATCTGGTGGGGAGGGTGTGTGGCATTTTTGTTTTCCTAGCTTATCTCTTGGGGATTTTTGTTGTCTTAGCTGTGTTCTTCTGGGTTTGAGGTTAACAAAGGACCACCTTTTATTTGAGTATGAAAAACAAATGTTAGAGTGGGACTCCCCCCGCTTGACCCTTCAGTGGGACCTCAGGTACCTGTTGTTTTTACAGATTTCCTCTTTTAGGTTTTTGTTTGTTTCTCTTTGGGGGGCAGGGGGGCAGTGCTCGTGGCATGTGAGGTCTCAGTTCCTCAACCAGGGATCAGACCCACACCTCCTGCATGGGAATTGTGGAGTTTTAACCACTGGACCACCAGGGAAGTCCCTGTTTGTTCCTTTACTGGTTTTATTTTTTTTATTTATTTATTTTTTAGAGCATATATAGAAAATTTTCTTTTATAAAAAACAAAAATATTTGGACATCTTATATTTAATATAGCTTAGCCATTTAGTTTATGTTGACAAGTTTAGTTACATGTTAGGAGGGACACTCCATATACAAAAGAACACAATAGCAAGCATATATTTTAACGGTTGATTAGTCAGGCAACGACTGACTTAATTTTTTTCTTGTATTTTTTTTAGAAGATACTCCATTTGTAAATTCAAGTTTGGTTGGCCCTTTTTAGTCTTTTTGCTCAGTATTTTGAACACTTCCATTTTCTTCTTCTTGTAGAGCCTTTGGGCTTCTCTCTCTTGTTTTCTCCTCTCAAATTCTTGTTTCTTAGCAGCTTGCTTGGCTTGTATCTGCTCATATTCTTCCTGTGCTTTTTGATTTGATGTTTTCTTTTTATTTTTCTTTGGAATATTAATGGAGTTTATTCTTATGCTACACTGTTCTTCTGGCTGAGGCTGCTCAATGCTACAGTGTTCTTCAGACAAAGCCTGGTCATTGCTACCTTGGTCTTCTGGCAAAGGCTGATGAACTTGTTCTTCTGACAGAGGCTGGTCAGCTTTTCTAAGCTGCTTCCCGAGTCTTTCCTCTTCAGCTAAATAAAGATGTTTCAGATGATCAGGATACCAATCTGTGAAGGGGGATTCACTTGGTGGTTGAGACTTCTTTTCCCTCTGGAGTAATTTCTTATAAGTTTCCTGAATCTTGAGTTTTCTCCGAAATGCGAAGCCTTGTCCTTCTCGAACGCTCCCCGAGAAGGCTTGCAGATGATTAGTTCGCCACGTTTTCTGTTTCACATTCTTATTTCTGAATTCAACCGGTGAAACTCCTCCACGCGTCCCCAAACTCCCTGTCCGCCCCCTTCGTGCCGGCCACACGGGCGCCATGGCACACCAACCAAGGCGCAGGAAAAACACAACGGACTCCCCTTTACTGGTTTTAATTTATTTATTTAGGCTGAGCCAGGTCTTAGTTGTGGCATATGGGATCTAGTTCCCTGACCAGGGTTCGAACCTGGGCCCCCTGCATTAAGAGTACAGAGTCTTATCCACTGGACTGCCAGCAAGTCCCCTTTACTGGATTTTTAATAACAACTTTATTAAGGTGCAACTGACCTCCAATAAGCCACGCCCTAGAAAGTTGTCAGGATTTTAGGTTTTGACATACACAAAGCTGTCACCGAGGCTGTGACAGTGGATATCTTCATCAAGCCCCCAGCACTGCCCCATGTCATGCTGGTTCTGAAGCTGTGCTGGGGAGACATCAGGGCCCCCTCTAAACCCCTTACCTGTCACCCCTCAGGGCTCCAAAGTGGGCAAGCTGACCCTCAAGACCACAGAGATGGAGACCATATATGACCTGGGCACCAAGATGATCGAGTCCCTGACCAAGGACAAGGTCCAGGCCGGGTGAGCAGTGGGGGCCACACCTAGTGGCCAGGGTAGGGGGGCTCTAGCTCTTCCTGTCCTCACCCCTGCCCTCCTTCCCTTGCAGGGACGTGATCACCATCGACAAGGCCACAGGCAAGATCTCCAAGCTGGGACGCTCCTTCACACGTGCTCGTGACTATGATGCCATGGGCTCCCAGGTGGGCAGGGCTCCTGGGTCCCCTCACTGAGGCACCAGCATGTTTTTCTCTCCCCCATCCCCCAGCGCCCACAGGGTCTGGATCCTCCTGTCACCCCAGCCCTGTGTCCCTGGCCCTCCTGGTGATTCCCCGTACCCTCCAGGACTGCCAGGGACCCTCAGCTTCTTGGTTTCCGGGTCCTCCAGGAACCCCTGTCCAGTGCTCTGGACTGCCCGAGTCTTTACCCCTCAGGCGTGGGGTTTCTGCATAACCCCCATCTGGATTCCTAGCTCCATTCTGGGGAGCCTGTCTCGACAGCCCCCTGGGGCCCCCGCTTCATGCTCTTTTCTGCCCTTGTTTACCCTGCACCTCGCCCCGGCCCCATAGACCAAGTTCGTGCAGTGCCCAGATGGGGAGCTGCAGAAACGCAAGGAGGTGGTGCACACGGTGTCCCTCCACGAGATCGACGTCATCAACTCCCGCACTCAGGGCTTCCTGGCGCTCTTCTCAGGTGAGGCCCATCCGTCCCACCCCCGCCGGGTGGCCCCCTCCCCTCCCCTCCATCCCTCTTTGCCGTCTTCCGCTCTCCACCTGTGGTTTGCTTGTCTCTCCGCATCTGTTGCCTCTCCGGGACGTCTCTGGCTCCCTGGCCGCTGTCATGTCACCACTCCAGCTCGGTCTCTGTGTCCCCGGCGTCCTGCCTCTCTCTGCCTTTGTCCACCGCCCTCCCCCACCCCCGGCCCTGGATCCGTGTCTCCTCTCTGACACCCTGCCCCCCACCCCCACCCCGCCTCCCACAGGCGACACAGGGGAGATCAAGTCTGAAGTCCGAGAGCAGATCAACGCCAAGGTGGCCGAGTGGCGGGAGGAGGGCAAGGCGGAGATCATCCCCGGCGTGAGTACCCGGGCCAGGCCAGGCTGGGGGGCGCGGGAGAAGAGGGGTGTGGGAGGTGGGTGTGACACCCGCCCAATGGCCCCCAGGTGCTGTTCATCGACGAGGTCCACATGCTGGACATTGAGAGCTTCTCCTTCCTCAACCGGGCCCTGGAGAGCGACATGGCGCCTGTCCTCATCATGGCTACCAACCGCGGCATCACCCGGTGAGCCCCCGCGGCCCCTGAGGAGGCCCGGGGCAACAGGGAGCAAGTCACTCGTACCTCGCTGATGCATAGACATAAAGGGAACAGAACTTGGTGTTTTCTCTTGACCTAAGGATACAGTGGGAAAATCCCTGAGGCAGGAAGGGTACCAGACAACGTAAAGCTTGGGAGCCTCTGCCGTGGGAGAGGCACGGCCTCTCCCACAGCTGTGGGAGCCACAGCCTTGCTGTGCCCAGTTCTCCCTGCTGGCTCTTCCTCGCCTCATCTTCAAGTCTACAGGAAGGGAGAAGGAAGTGGGGCAGAGAGCTCATGAGAGCTGGGGGCCTGAAGGCTGCACCCAGCACGGCCACCTGGACCCATTGCCTGGGCTGCTCAGTTGCATGATTGCAGACTTGTGCCAGCTGAAGCACAGGGAAGAAAGGGCGCGACTACCAGGGATAATGGGCAGGTTGTCCCTGGCTCTTGGCTCAGCATTTCCTCAAAAGGAGCTCAGGTGCTAGGTATCATCTCAGCCCCATTCTCTTCCCTTCTCTCCCCGCAAAACACATACTGCAGGGCCTGTGGGATCTTAGTTCACCAACCAGGGATCTAACCTGCGCCCCTTGCGTTGGAAGCTTGGAGTCTTAATCACTGAACCACCAGGGAAGCCCCTTATCTTACTAATTTTATTTTTTGGCCATGCTACATGGCTTGCCACATCTTAGTTTCCCAACCAGGATTCAAACCTGTGCCCCCTGCAGTGGAAGCACGGAGTTGTAACCACTGGACTACCAAGGAGTTCCCTCAGCCCTGTTTTCAAGATGGGGGACAGCTAGACCCAGTGACTTCCCCACGGTCACATGTGGAAAGCAGCAGGGCTGGAATTTGGTATCCAAATGAGCATGTTTGTAGCAGCTAAAGGTCAGGCCATGGGATCAGGGGCGTCACTTGTGAGAGGCTGCAAACCCAGTCACTCCTCATTATCCTGCAGATATCTTCCATATTTGTGATTCTGCTTACTTGCTACAGATGATCTGTAGCCCCCAAATCGATATTTGCCACACTTTGGCCGTCATTCACAGATGTGTGCAGAGCAGGGAAAAATTGAATGGCCCATGGCAGACAGTCCAGGCGAGGGTCAAAGCAGGTGATGCTCCGCCTCCTAGTTTCAGCTCACATGCTATAATCAAGCGTCCTTTTCTTGATCTACTTGTTGCCACTGGCGTCACACTGTATGCTGTTTGTTCCTGATGATTTTGCACTTTAAAATGGCCCCTAGGGGACTTTGCTGGCAGTCAAGTGGTTAGGAGTCCATACTTCCAAAGCAGGGAGCAAGGGTTCGATCCCTGGTTGGGAAACTAGGATTCCACATGTTGTGTGGAGCAGCCAGAAAATTAAAATAAATCATAAAGTGTCCCCCAGCTGTCGAATGTCTCTGAGCACAGCAGGGATGGGCCGTATGGAGAAAACACGTGTTAATAGCATCCGTCAGGGACAAGTTCAGAGGCTATGGGCATGAGTTCAGCATGAAAAGTCAATAATATATACTGAATTGGGTGTCTTTAAACAGAAACACCTGAAACCAGGCTATCTGGTGGCCAAACATTGTGACAGAGGCTGTCAAGAGCCTAGCCATGTGTTACTGTTTCCTGCAGGGGCAGTGGTTCAGTACTTGCTAATTGAGTAATTGCCCCCAAGTTATAGATCACAGCTCCCACACATAACAGGAATCTGCTATTTCCTGGTGCCGGCCACGTGCCTGACCTTGTGCTGGGCCAGGTGCAGTGGGGGTATAGGGTGGGCCCAGTCCCTCCCTTGTGGAGCTCTGGGTCCAGCAGAGGAGTGGGACCTTGATGCGGTAATCCAAGACCTAGATCTCTAGCTCAGACCAGCCTGGCTCCGAAGGGGGAGCGATGCAGTTAGGGTGCGGTGACGCCAACCCGAAGCTGAAGGCTCAGCGGTATTTGGCCCAGTGAGTGGTCTGTGGTGAGGGGGTGGGTGGGGTGGGGTGTTCTGAGTGTAGAGAAAGGAGGGCCTGGTTCTAGGGGTATCACCCTGATGGCCCTCCCTTCCTCCTCCTCCCCAGGATCCGGGGCACCAGCTACCAGAGCCCCCACGGCATCCCCATCGACCTGCTGGACCGGCTGCTCATCGTCTCCACCTCCCCCTACAGCGAGAAGGACACAAAGCAGATCCTTCGCATCCGGTGCGGGCGGGGCCCCACCTCCCGGGCAGGACCAGGCTGCCGGCCAGAGGGGCTGGTGTCCACCCTGCTTGACGCGTGGGGCCTGCGGGGGAGGTCACGGCCTGCCAGAAGCAGGGCTGGGCGGGGCATCCGAGCTGTGGCCTCTGATGGGTGGGCGGGGCTCTTTGGACAGGTGCCTGGCACAGGGGAAAGAGCCCTGAAAGGGGGAGGCTCAGTAGGCCCGAGGTTGAGCTCCAGCTCCTGCCTCGATGGCCCTTCTCACTCCACGTTCTGGGCTTCCGAGGATTCTAACTCCTCATGGCTCGGTCCCTGGCTGAACACCCCCGCCCCTCCCTGCCCGCAGGTGCGAGGAGGAAGACGTGGAGATGAGCGAGGACGCCTACACGGTGCTGACCCGCATCGGGCTGGAGACCTCACTGCGCTATGCCATCCAGCTCATCACGGCTGCTAGCCTGGTGTGCCGGAAACGCAAGGTGAGCCGCTGAGTCCACCCAGCGTCAGAGGAGTGAGCGGTCCACACGCCACTCCCAGGGCTTTCCCTGGGTGGTTGCATTTAGTTCCAGAACTTAAAAGTTTTTGAAGGCAGGGAACTTAAGGCCCTTGGGTGTATTTCTGTGGCTCCCAGCCTGACATATGGGAGGTGCTGGGTAAATATCTGTTGGCTGCCAGTTGATGCTGTTAAGTCCATTTTACAGATGAAAAAACTGAGGGATGGAGTGGTGGGGCCCACAGCCAGGAGGCAGCCATGGCAGGACGTGACCTGGCCCCTGGGTGGGGCCCCCCTGAGGTCTCGTGTCCCCCATCAGGGCACCGAGGTGCAGGTGGACGACATCAAACGGGTCTACTCGCTCTTCCTGGACGAGTCTCGCTCCACGCAGTACATGAAGGAATACCAAGATGCCTTCCTCTTCAACGAGCTCAGTGAGTATCCCCATCATGCCTGCCCCGGAGAGGGAGGAGGGAGCCCTGGCCCTGCCTGCTGGGCTGCTCTGACCACGTGGCTTTCCTTCTCCCCACAGAAGGTGAAACCATGGACACCTCCTGAGCTGATCACCTTTCCCCCTCACCCCCACCCCCGTTTTCTACTAGAGTTCTGACACTGTGACTTTGTATAAAATGGTTCTGAAACTGGACCCATCGTGTGTGTGTGTGTGTGTGTGTGTGTGCGCGCGCGCACAAATGGGTGCATACACCCGAGCCCCTAGAAAGACAACCCCGGAGTGCAGTTTGACGAGTCTTTATTGGGAAGGGAGGGGAGGAGCGTCTGCTGGCTCCGGGAGTTGGGAGGCATGGGAGGTTGAAGTGGGGCATCCTTAGAGGAAGAGGATGTCTGGGAGTGGGGGGTGGTCACAGGCCAAGGGTTGGGTTCTAGGACCCCCGCAGTCAGTGCTGCTGAGGCGACAGGGCCCACAGTGACAGCTGAGGGCCACGGGGAAGGAGACCATTGGGTCCACGCCAGGTGGGCAGCCGGGGAGCCGAACGGAGGCGAAGTGCAGCTCGTGGTAGGTGCACACCCGCTGGGGCATGGGCGGCAGGATGGCAGGCAGCACCCGCTTCTGGAGGGCGGGGAGCTTGAGTGTCTCCGTGGGGCCAAGCTCTCCCCCGAGCTCCCCCACTGCACCCCACAGATCCCAGACTGTGTCCAGGGGATCCTCTGTGCTCTCCCTCCCACCTGCCCAGCCCATTCCCCAGGCAGCAGGCCACCCTTCCACCCCCAGTGCCACTTCCGGGTCTTCTATGGGCCTGGCCCCAAGTAATCTGCCTGGAGTTGACGTGGTGGCACCCGCCCGCCCTCAGCAGCTCACCATGCTGGGGCAGTAGCCGGCGCAGATGCTGGTGGTGAAAGTGATGCAGACAGGGCAGGCCTCCTTCTCAGCCGCCAGGGTGGCATTGATGGGCTGGCACAGCGGCCGCAGTGGCCCCCTGGAAGCCCACACCCCGGCCACGCCCAGCAGCAGCCACAGCAGCAGCCCCTGGGACAAGGCCAGTGCCTCAGGCCCAGCCAGAGCCCTCACCCCACCCCCCGAGCCCCGCATACACACGTTCAGGGACCCAGCTCCTGTGCCTGCCACCTTCCATTCAAGGATTTCCCATCCCCATCCCCAGGGACCCCAGACACCCCAAGACCTCAGGCCCCACCTGTTGTCCTCCTCCTGCCGGCAGGCCTACTGTTCTCCCCACACCCTTCTAGAAAGAGGCCTCCTTCACCAGGTCCCCGGACTCCCGCTTCCTGCCAGCTGTGGCCTGGATGGAGTGGCAAGGGGCCCTACAGCCTTACCTGGAGCATCTCCATCCTTGGCGCCTCCCCTGCTGTGTTTGCCTGGTCTTATACCTGCAGGCTGTGGGGGCGGCAAGGCCACCGGGGGTGGCAGCATGGTGGGGTAACCTGGACACTAATCTCCCCGGGGGCGAGAGGCAGACAAGGTCAGGGAGACGCAAGAGTGGCTCCATGGTGCACCCCTCCCCCTACTCCCTGAGTGGCTCCCGCACCATGAAGCAGAAGACACCAAGGAGAAGGTGACTTCGCGAGACTCAATCCCCAGGTGCTAGGGAGGTCGTGGTGGGAGTACAAGAAATCAGATACTGTAGGCCCTCAGCTGTGCCGCTTGCCTTGCGAGCGCCTCTACCTGTCACGAGGGGACCCGGCAGAGGCTGCAGCACCGCCCCTCTGACAATTCTCCGATGGTGATTGGCTGCAGCTTCAACCCTGCTCCTCCGGCCAAAGCCTGAGCCTGACTTCTTAGGAGGGGCGTAGCTTCAGTATCGGATTCTGTGGCTAGAGGTAGTGGAGGTCCACTCGCACCGCCCCTCCAAAAAGGATTCAGCGGGAATCCCACCTGCCCCACACTCGGGCCCCAAAAGCCAGGATGCCGGAACCAAACCCAGCAAAGGGCGTGACTTAGGCTCTTTAACTCATCGAGTAAGATAAGCTGTGCCCCTTCGGCTGCAGAAGACATGTCTTACAACCTCAAGGTACATTTTCCAGGCTCAGTCCCGCCCCCGCAATTGAGTGAATGTTAGATTCTCCCCGCCCAAGGGCCAAGATCTGGCCTCAGATGGGCGGGGCCCTCCTAGCACCGCCCAGTGGGCCCCTAGTCCCGTCTTCCAGGCTTGGCCCCGCCTCGTCTCGGGGGCGTGTCCAGGGCGGGGCTGGCTGGTCTGATTCAGAGCAACGCTGGCTTCAAGCTGCCGTAGTTGGAGTTCTCGGTGCGGTAGGCATGAGGCACACTGTAGATGCCTGACACGGGCTTCCAGTGGGGGCCGCCCCAGGGCAGCTCCAGCGGGCAGAAACGGTCCAGCCGGCGGAGTGGGTGCAGCGGGAGGTTGTAGGATTCCTGAGCCAGAGTCAGCGCCCCGCGGTGCGGCACGACGGGCATCACTGGGCGGCCGCGAGACAAGCGGATTTTCGGCGGCTGGGGTGGCCGAGAGGAGGACGGACAGGGCAGCTGCTTCTGGCTGTGGCCGCCGGCCTGGGGCGTCTCCCCGAAGTTTGAGGTCATCGAATCCTTGCGAGGATAGCTTGACAACTCCTTCCTGTTGGGTTGGGGTAGAGGCAGGATGGGGAAGGCACAGCTGGATCCTCGAGGACACATTTGTAGGAGTCTGGGACCCTTTAGGAGGCTTGGGACTGGGGAATTATCTGGGGACTCAAACCCCAAAGAGGCCGGCCTTAGACCTTCAGGGCCATGCCCTTAGATCCGGAACTCCCTCTTGGGCCCTTTGCGGGCTCCTTGTTCCTGAGAGTTGACACTAAGTGAACCAGAGCGCTAAAAGAGGTAAGGGCTGGGTCTGAATTTCTGGTTCTTGCCCGCGCAGGGACTGAAGGCCGAGACTACTGAGTCAGAGAGGGGCAGTCAACACTGGGAGGCTCGGCGTCCCACCAGCCTCTGCGGGGGTTTTGCAGGGGGACGGGGCCAAGCGAGGACCCAGGCTCACTTCGAATAGGGCCGAAAGTCCTGGGCCGACGTGGTCAGATAGAGCTGATGGCGGTCCAGTATGCCCCGGTCAGAAATTGTGAAAGGCCGGCCGGCCAGCTCGGGGTTCTTGGTCCAAGGGATTAGAGCCTGAGGAAGATCGGGGGAGGAGGAATGAGCAAGAAAACTTTCATAACCCGTTCCATGCCCTGGGTGCCAGACTGAGAATTCCTCTTTGTTGGGTCTCAACAGCCACTCTGAACCAGGCCCTGACACCCGCCCCCAGAATCAGAATCCTTGGTCAATTGCACGTCAGTGCACTTCAACTTCGCGCCCCAGGTCAAAACCCTTACTAGCCTCACCTCCAAAATCCAAGTATTCTGCCCGCCAAGTCCCCAGTCACTGAAAGACCTCCCTGGCTCCTCCCCTAGATTGGTCCCGCCGCTGGAATTCAGCAGAAACCATTCCTCCTTACTTTACCCTAAGAGGAGAAGCCAGCCCTTTCTCCGGTACCAAACCCGCCTCAGAATATTCGAGCTCCGCCCACGAGTACTTTAGGCTGCGTAGCTCCGCCCCTAGCTCCTAGGCCCGCCCCAGGATTTACTAGACCCGCCTCAGAGCTGGGCTTTCGGGTTTCCAGTCCCCGCCTCCTCCTGGCTCCGCTTGTACAGTGCCAACCCCCTCCCCTAGTCTATGCAACTTCAGATTCGGTCCCGTTCTTGCGCCCCTGGACTTAGAATTTCTTCTGACCCGGCGCTAGGGTCTCAGTCCGGTTCCTAGCTTCTGAGCTCCCTCCCCCCGCCGCAGGCACTCAAAGTTCTGCCAGATCCTGCCACTGCGGTTCTCCGCTACCTGGGAAGGGCCCCCTCGGTGGTGGTCTGCAAGCTCTAGGGGTTGGGGCCCGAAGTAGGAGGTGGGGCCCCGGTCCAGGTCGGGCCAGCCGCCGTACTGCGCCTTCGTCTCACTGCACTGGTGCTTGGTGATCAGAGGGAGGCGCCAGCCGCGATGTCTGAGCTGAGAGAAGGCGAGGCGGGGACCCAGCGTGAGGGTGCACGGGATTCCAGTGCAGCCCCCAGCCCTGTCTACCCCGGACCTGGGCATCCCGGAACCTTACTTTTTCCCCTAAATCCTTGATCCCCACAGTCCGAGTGGGGTTCGCAGGTTCTGGGGCCTTGGGCTGTGCGTAGGGTCCTCCGTGGGTCTTAGGCACGAGAGCTGAGCCCGAGGTTGTCTCCCATCTGCTGATGACCTCGTCGAAAGCCCAGACATGCAAATCCTGCTTTGCGGCTGGGGGCAGAGGCTCCGCGACCGTGGACTGAGCAGAAGGTGCGGGCCGTCAGCTGAAAGGACTCAGGAATCTGGTCAGCTCCCAGCCCTTCCTCCCGCCAGTTCCAGGCATCCGGGTTCGCTGGCGCCTCCTCTCTCGGCCCCAGACCCTGAGACCCTCCTCCTTCAGTCAGACAGGAGTCGAAGCCCCAAATCGCCCAAATCCAGCAAGTGTCTGGATCCCCAGGCTCCTCCTTGAGTCTGGGACCCCAGTCTCCTCTTGGCCAAGAGGCTAGGGTCCTCTCACCTGCACAGTGGGCGGGGGGAAGGACACGGGCGGGATAAAGTGGTGGGCGACGCCACTGCTGGTGAGATGCCTGTTGGGCCAGTTGGGCACCTCGGTTCCAGAGATGGGGGACCACGGGGGACCGTAGCGCAGAGCTAGGGTCCGACCCGCCATGGTCCCACCCCTGCCCCGTAGCCTAGCAGGAGCAGGCTTGTTGTTGCTGTCGCCCCGGGTGACAGAACCCGCCCACCCTGAAGGCAGCCAATGGAGGGCCTATTAGTGTGTGGCTGCATGGATAGAGTAAGAGACCCAGGCATGGAGGAACAGGACTTTTGAGAGAGTGCAGAGTCCCCAAGGGGACAAAAGCTCAGAAAAATGGTGGAGGGAGACCCAGAAGGAGAGGAGGGTAGGAAGCGGGGGGAGGGAGGGGAATAGAAATTCAGAGTTTAGAATCTGAGACCCAGAGAGCGAGGGGCTGAGACCTGGGGGCGTGTCAGAGACCCTGAAATAGAGAAACAGAGTGGAAGGAGGACAGGGTCACCTAGCACATCAGGGAATCCACGAGAAACACCGCCCCCCCCCCCCTTTCCTATAAGGTCCTAGCCTTCTTAGCTACCTCCTTCCTCTGCCAGGACAGCCCACCTCCAGCGGCAGAGGGGGGGATGGGGGTGAGGGGGTGGGTAACGATTTCCAGACTTCCCCGGGGCTCGCCCTCCCTCGCTGTGTGTGCTGAAAGAGACAGCATCAGCTTCGACTTCTGTCCTGCCTGCCTTTGATTTGGTTGAAAACTTCCACCTGGGTATGGGGATGGGCGAAGAGGGAGGGACCCAGAGGGAAATACTTAGCAATAAAGAGGGGGATGTGGAAAGAGTTTTGATGAATGAGAAAAATACATACAAGAGTGAGTGAGAGACAGCGAATGAGAAGCAGGGACAGAAAGAGAGCTAGTGACCCAGAGATTATGGGACAAGAATTTAGACAGCAACAGCAGAGGAGGTGGCAGAAGAGAGCGGGAACCACAGACCTAGAACACAAGATGTAGAAACAAAGGCAAAAATGCATGTGTGCATGTGCGCGAGTGTGCACATGTGTGTGGCTACGGAGTGGTAATATATGAATGGGTGTTCTGAGGGTGTGGGGGTCTACCTCTGAGTTCTCTTGTCTGTTCCTCACTTTAAAACCCTTTTGAAAAATAAAAAAATAAAAAATAAAACCCTTTTGATCAAAGCCTCTGCCTCTCCTCCCCATTCTCTTCCCACCAACCCGTTCTTCAGACAGGGGAAATTGAGGCTGACTTCTGCGGCTGCCCCAGGATTCCACAGACCCCCTCATTCAGGCTTCTGGGGCCACTTATCCTATTGGATTTTCCTGGCTCATTCTAGACGGATCAACATCCAAATCTCCCCTGATCTCAGCCAGGGGGCAGGTCAGTTGGTCAAAACCTCATGTCCTACTCAAGCTGGACAATGATAAGGTCTGTTTCTTTCTGAGTATATTGCAAAAGCTGGGACAGGGAAGGGGATGGAAACCTGACTCCAACTCCCCACCAAGGCCAAAATCTTAAGCATCCTGACCTCTGGTCATTCAACCTTGCTTGTACTCCTGTCATAGGTAGCTCACTACCTCAAAACAGAGCACTCTAAGCACTTGCCCAATCTGACCAAATAAGGTTTCTTGTTGAACCCCAGCTCCCAACTAGTTGCCTACATGTTCCAGTTTTTATAACCCCCCACACACAGTTTTATAATCCCCCCAAGTATCCTCTCCTAGTCACTCTCTTCAGGTTGGACAAGGTGATGTCCTTTGAGATCACCTGGTCAGCAGCTTAGAAGCTGAGGAACTCCAATGGTCAAATCCACCAGAGTTGATCTGACAAGTTGTATTAGAGTTCATAAACAGTAGACACTCAGAAAATATTGGCTATTATCATCATCGTCATCATTTTTACCCTCAAGTTCATCCAGGAGAACTCCTATTCATCTTTCAAAACCCCCTTTGGTTTCACCATCTGTCTTTCCCAGAATGAGCTCTCAAAACCAGAGCATTGTGATTTTTCTTGTGACCATTTGACAAGTTCCCAGACTGAGGCCCAGAGCAGCCAGGCTACTCCTGAGGTCTTTCAGCATCCAGCTCCTTCTTCCTCTACCTGCCCAGTTCCTGGGCCTGGCTCTCAGGCCCGGCCAGTCCGGCTGAGGAGCGTGCAGACACAGGCGGTGTCAATTCGAATCCATCGCCAGCCCACACGGCCCTGGGCATCTGTGGTCAATGCCCGCACATAGGACTGCTTGGCCTTACACTCAGACACCCAGTGCCTCCGGTCCACACCCCGGCAGCCTCCTCCACCCCCACCAGGGCCACCTTCCCCAGCACTGGCAGCCTTGCAGCGGGTTTCAAAGAAGTACTGGCGCAGGGGACTGCCACCAGCCGCTGGCACCTCGCCCAGCACCTCCACCTCGCGCCCACGCAGGTCCACAGCAGTCCGGCGGTCTGTCACCCAGCCGCTGACTGCGTCACACACGGCCAGCTCTCCACGGCGACTGGCTGGTGCTGTCTCGCTCACCCCTCGCCGGCTGCGGTTAGCTGGGCTGCCAGCTGGCTCCCCAAAGGCCCCAGACTCCAGCAGAAAGAGCAGAGGGGGCCCCGTGGGAGTACCCCTGGACAGGGCCACCCGGGGGGACAAGAGGTCCCACTCAGGGGCTGGAAATGGGGGCAGGGGTGAGGGTGGGGGGTGGGGCTCCATCGGGACACTGGGGAGGAGGAAAAGCAGGAGGACGGGGAGGGAGCCTGAGGGGTGGGGGAGCATCTCGCTGAGCACCTGAGGATAGAGAGAAGGAAGCTGGAATTAGGAGGATGATAACTTCATGGGGGGACATATGGTGACTCCAGGGGCATCTGCATGACAGAACCACAGGTTCTAGAAGCTTGGAGGACTCCTATACTTTAGGACTTTGATAATGCCCAACCACTAGATAAATCATAATTATTCTACTATGAGTATTAATAATAGCCAATAAAGGGGGAAATATAGGCTCAGAGAGGCTAGGAACTTGTACCAGGTTACACAGCCAGTAAATGCCAGAGGTGGGACTCAAAACATGTTCTAGCAACTCCACTCTGCCATCTTGCCTCTACAACCCCAAGGAACCCTATGTCCTGCAGCCTGGATGAGGTTTGAAGTTCCAAAATTTCTGAGAAAGGTCATGCCCTGGAATTCCAGGGAGACCCAAGTTCAGCTTAAAACTGCCTGTAAGAAAGTAAGACACTTCCTCCCAGGTGAGGCTTTGGTTTCCCTATCCATGAAATTGGGCCAGGGCTGGGAGATGCTGGTGGGGGCATAGGAGCTGCAGTTTCTCTAGAACATTCTGGAAGCCTGTGGGTTCTGGGAAAAGACTGAGAAGCAGTGCGTGGTTACCGGACCTGTCAGCACCTCCTCCACCTCCGAGCTCTGGGGCTGGGGGCCCCCAGGCTCCGGGGGGCCCCTGTTGGGGACACAGGTGGCCCCCTCCTTCCTGACATCTCAGGAGAGGGAGGGGGCAACCACCTAGGGGAAGAAGGGAACAGGCAGGTTAGACAGGCAGGTGGGGGAGGGGGCCTGAACCCCTGAACACTCCACTTCTCAGTGTTCCTCTGAAAGTGTAGGGGACCAAAAGTCAAGGCTGCAGCCCCTCCCAGAGGCCCCTGCTCTGCCCAGGTGATGGCTCCTGGATGGAAAGCAGATGGGGGGAGGAGAGGGGAGGGGAGGGGAGAGGCTGAGGATGAAGGAGGCTGGAAAAGATTACATCCTCCTCAGCCCATTCATCTCGAAGACGGGGCGGGGGCGGGGCTGGCCTGGACACCCGGGTCCCCCAGGGCCCACACTTAAGAAGCTCTGGGTCCCCCTGGCTGCTTCCTGGAATGTTCTCTGCTCACAGGACAGGCCAGGGCCCGTTCAAGACGTCTACTGCACATACCTGGAGTGTCTGCCTGCCCTGGCTGGGAGATGGGGAAGTGAGAAGGGGAAAGCGTGAAGAGGTGTACATGCTGACCCAGCCAGAGCCGGGAGGGTGGGTTCCCAGCTGCTTCCTCCCTCAGACCGGGAGTCCTGGTTCCCAGGTGCCTTCTCCCTCAGATCTAGGGTCGTGGGTGCCAGCGGCCCCCACTCTATCCTTTGCAGGAGTCCAAGCTCTTGCCCTCTCCTCACTCAGACCCCAAAGCCCCGCGCCCTAGCTCTCTGCTCCTTCAGGAACCCAGGTCGCCAGCTGCCTCCCTCAGATGCAGGAGTCAGGCGCCCCAGACCGCTCTTCCCTCGGACCCAGAAGTCCCGACCCCCAGTCCTGTCCTCCTTCAGACCCGAGAGTTCTGGGGTCCAAGCCCATCCTTCCCAGGCACTCAGAAGCGCGGACTCCCCGGGCCCTCCTCTCCCGGGAAGTTTAAGCCTGGTGGTCGGGACTCCTGAGACCGCGCTAGGGGTCGCGGGCTGTCAGTCTCAAACGCTTCCCTCCTGCCTCAGTTTCCTCCGCCAAGCCCCGCCCCCGCCGGCCCCGCCCCCGTCCCTCCCTACCCGGGGGCCGGGCGACCCGGACGCCGGAATCCCGGGGGAGGAGGCGCGGAGGCGCTTACCTGGGGCGCCCTCCTCGGCTCCCCCGGCCGTCTCCGGCGCGGCGGCGGCTCCTCCTCCTGCTCGCTGGCTGTAGGGACGCCCGCTCGCCCGCCGGCTCCTCGCTGCACACGCTCCGGAGGGCCCGGGTCGGGGGCGGGGGCGGGGCGGCGCCCGACGGCGGAGGAGGGGCCGGGGGATCCCGCCTTCCACACGCGTGCCGAGACCTCGGAAGCCAGGCCTGGCTCGCTCAGCCCTCAGCCCGCCTCAGTCCCAGGAGGCCAGGCGCCAGCCCCCACCTCCCTCCCTTCAAACTCGGGAGCCCGGGTCCGCAGCCCGCAGCCCCCTCCTCCCAGCGGACACGGGAGTCCGGACACCCACCCCTCCTCCCGCAGATGCCGGGAGTCTGGGCCCCCAGCTTCCTCCTCCTTAGGACCACCACCCCCAAGCCCTTCTTCCTCAGCTCCAGCCGCCTCCTCCCGTAGACCCAGGAGTCCAGACCCCCAAGTCCCCTCCTCCCTCAAACCCAAGAGTCCAGACCCCAAAATCCCCCTCCGCAGACCCAGGAGTCTGGGCCTGAGATTCCTTTGCGTTCTCTTGCCAGTTCAGTGTCAATCCCCGGGCAGATTCCCACCCTCTGCTCTCATCCCCGAGTCTCTCAGGAGTTCCAGGCCAGACATTAACCAGCTGGGCTCGGGGAGTGATAAGGCCCCGAGGCCCGGGGAGACGGTAGATGCGGGGGTCTCTCCCACATAAGTCCTCTCTGCTGGAATTTCCTGGGTGGGGACTGGGGAGAGGGTCTTGTCCTGAGTTTCAGATAAGAGAAATTCAAGGTATTCTAGGATTTGGAGACAGACAAAGATATGGTTTGGGAACAGAATGACCTGCCTGGAGAAAGTGAATAGTGACAGATGAAGGGAGATGGGGAGAAGAAAAGGGGACAGACTCCCAGAGAGAGAGGGAGACACACACCCGGAGAGAGAGAAGGCACAGACCCAGAGAAGGGACAGACACATCGAGGAAAGGGAGAGAAGCCCAGAGAAAGAGAGACCTTAAGACAGATGGAGATTCAGACGGGAGTTGAGAGTCCCCCGGCAGACTTAACTGCTTCACCCCTCCCCTGGAGCTATTTTCAGAAGGAAAACTGACACCCGCCTTGGTGGGGGGGGGGGGCAGGGGTCATCCCATACCCCTCCCTCAGCCTAAATATAGCATGGCAAGGTGGCAGGAAGGGTGTCCCCGGATTAGGGTGTTCCCCTCACTGCTCCCCATCCCGGGCCAAGGAGATGTAGAAGGTGGGTGCGGTTGTTTATTGGGGTGGGGGAGGGGCCCTGCCCACAGGAGTGTCCATTGGAGTCACTTCCCAGACCTCCCCAGGCTTCCCCCATCCCTAAGTACCCTACCTGCCCCACCCCCTACCAGAAGTCTATGGAACTTCCATTGTCCGATGGGGTAGTAGGGGTGAGTTAGCAGAGGGATGGGAAGTTTCCGTCTCTTCCTCTCTCCGGGTCTCTATCTCCCTCTGTCTGGGTCCCTGTCCCCTCTGTGTCCCCTGTCCCTCCCCTCTGGATCTCTGGCCCCTCCTGTCTGGTGTCTGCCCCCTTCTCTGGGTCTTCGCCCCCCCTCCCAGGCTGCTGCCCTCTTCTCTCCTCCTCTCCCTTCTCCCCTTGCGTGTCTCTGTCCTCTGTTCACATGTCTTTTCCTCTCTGGGTCCCTGTGCTGGGCTCCGTGCCTGCCTCCCAGACTCTGCCTTGTGTCTGTCACTGCGATGGGAAGAGGGGGGTCTGTCTCCATTTCTGTCTCCAAATGTGTCTTTCCCTCCCTTTCGGAGAGAAGTGTTAAATTATTTAAAGGTTACATTATTTTCGACCTTTATCAAACGCTTCCCACAAGCTGTACCTGCTTCTATCTCTCTGTGTAAAAAGGTGGTTGGATTAAATCAGGGCTTTCCAAACTGAATTTGTTAGCCGCAGACCGAGTTACCCAGAGAGATTCCATAAAGGGTAGGTTCCCCTTAGACCAGTTCAAACCCTCTGATGTGTCACACTGGTGCTAACTAAGATTTCATTTGAACAAAAAAGAAACAGGTGGGGGGGGGGTGTCTCTAGCTAAAAATAACAACAACAAGTCTCTGTAAACCACTGGGTGGATTTTAATAAATTAATACAAGTACTTTGAATTAATACAAGTACCTGGCACATAGGAAGCCCTATACGTGTTAGTGATTTCACCGTCCTCCTCCTCCTCCAAATGCCCTTTTAGTACTGAATGATCTCTGACCTTGGGTAACCCCCTCCCCTCTGAGCCTCAGTTTCCTCATTTGTGAGAAATGAAGCTGTTAAGTTCTGGTGCTGATCAGCAGGCTGATGGGGACACGTGGGGTCAGGCAGCAGGCCACAAGTCCTGCCCACCCCCCCCAGCTGGAACATTCCACACGACCTTGGGAAGCCACTCCCATGCTTTGAAATGCTGGTTTCTCCCCAGGGAAATAAAGCGGGCCCTGCAGTTTGTCTGATACACTTCTTGAACTGCGGGAGGGGTGGCGTACCCAATTTGGAATCTTTGTGTGATTCTATGTGTGCATCTCTCTTGGGTTGAGGGGCACTGCCTTTTTCTGCCTTTTACCTTTTTGGTTCTCTTTCTCTGGGATGCTCTGGTCTCTTTTTCAATTCTAGGTTTCTGTCCCTCTCATTCTGGGTGCCTGACACCTGCCCCCTCTGGGTCTCTGTCTTCCCCTCTCTCAGGACCTTTTTTTCCCTCTTTGGATTTCCCTTTCTCTCTCTAGGTCTCTATACCTCCCCAGCTCTCTATCCCCCTCCTCTGGGTTTCTATCTCCCAATCAGGTCTGAACAGAGTACAGTTTCCACCCGGTTTCCCTTCCCTTGTGGCTCTGATCTCCATGCCTGGAAGCAAAACTCTAGGAGAAGACAGATAGAGAGGGGGTTGGTTTGAATGGCAAAACAAGGCAGGTTTGTATGGTAAACAGAAGGGGTATCTACATCTTGCTAGTTCACCCAGAAGCCCTCCGTTTGACCAACTGAATCTACAGATACAGAACCTAGCTCTGCTCCCTCTTATAGTGATGACACTGAGCAAACCAGTTCAGTTGGTCTCTTAGAGTCCACACACTACATTTGCTCCTTGACACATGATTACTTCCTAGTGCTATTATCCCCAGGGCCACTAAATGCAAGCAAACCAACATGCCCTAGAGACCTCATACATACACTGCAACTCAACCCATTCCTACAGGACTCAGCCAACACATCTTGATGTAACTCAGCTCAGTTTTACGACCCAAGTGAACCAGCCCTACAAGACTCACATGATTATACAACTCATTACGATCCAACTTAATGTTGCCCCAGAAAATGTCTAGCCACATAACACTATGCAATTCAACATGGCAGAACCCTGAAACACTTGTACACACTTACATTCCAACCCAACTTGACCTCATATGACCTAGAAAGCTCACATTCTATCACTTGACTCCGTGTTGCTACATGGCTCACAAGTTCACAGAACCTAAAATAACATGGCCCTAGGAGAATCACAAAGCCACTCAGTTTCCAGTGTCTCAACTCAACTCCACAACACCATGCATGAACACACAATCAGTCCCAACAGTGCCATGGGTGACCACCTTACTTGATCCAACATGGCCCCAGGGGACTCATAAAACCACAGAACCCTGCACAATGCTGTTGGACAAGACTCCCAACCCAACCCAACCCAACATGGAACCAAGAAACTCACAAAACTATGTGACCAAACCTATCTCAACACTACCCCAAAAGGCTCCATAAGCATTGCACAACCCAGTGCAGTACAAAACAATGGAACCTCCATCTCAACTCAGTATAACCCATTGCTATTCACTGTCACCTCAGGAGGTACCCACAGGAGCTACCAATCCACAACTCAAGACCCAATAAGACTTAGTGTTCCCCAGTTCATTACCACTTAACTTAGTTCATCCTAGAAACAACACCCTCCCCCCAACTTTCCCCTCCTCCCTTCCCGCCCTCCCTCCAAGGAAATGTGAGGTCCTTCAGACCTCAACTGTCCCTCACACTTCGGTGACCATGTGTTTCCCAGGGGGGACCCAGACTGGAGGTGGCAGCTCAGACACCTCTCGATCCACCAACCCCCCATTGACCTTGCCCTCCAGGGGGCCACAGGGCTGCGTGTCCACGTGGCTGTACATCCCAGCCTCTTCATCATCTGTCTCCCGGTGGTAAAAGTAGCTGAAGTTGGAGACAATGACTGGCACAGGTAGGGAAATGGTCAGCACGCCGGCGATGGCGCACAGAGAGCCCACTATCTTGCCACCCACAGTGACGGGTGCCATGTCTCCATAGCCAACTGTGGTCATAGTGACCACCGCCCACCAGAAGGATTCAGGGATGCTGGTGAAATGGGAGTCTGCCCGATCCACCTCGGCAAAGTAGACTGCGCTGGAGAAGAGGACCACACCAATGAAGAGGAAGAAGATGAGAAGGCCGAGCTCACGCATGGAGGCCCTTAAGGTCTGGCCCAAGATCTGCAGGCCCTTTGAGTGCCTGGAGAGCTTGAAGATGCGGAAGACACGTACCAGTCGGATGACTCGCAGGATGGCCAGTGACATGGCTGGCTGGCCCACTCCCCGCTGCCGGGCCAGCTCGGTACCCAGTGCCACAAAGTAGGGCAGGATGGCCACGAAATCGATGAGGTTCATCACATTCTTGAAGAAGGCTGTCTTGCTTGGGCAGGTCACCAGGCGCACCAGCAGCTCAAAGGAGAACCAACAGATGCACAGAGTCTCCACCACAAAGAATGGGTCATCGAAGGGCAAGCGAGGCGGGGGTCCAGGCACTGGGCTGGAGCCGTTCAGCCGAGCCGGGAACTGCAGGGAGGAAGGGATTCAGGAAGGACCATGCCAGGGCTGGGACACACTGGGACGGCCATATTTGCCGGTTAAATATTCAACTACTTCTTTACAAACTGGCCAATAGCCGCTGTCTCCAGAACCCCGCTGACCCAATTGGCAGAACCTTCCTACCAGGACCCCAGGGATCATCCCTGTAAGGCTGACTTTAGGATCCCTGATTCTTCACTGGCAGGGTCTCCTGAAACGATGCTAGAGTGGAGCTCAACCTCGTCCCTTCCGAAATCCAGCCCCCAGCGTTGAATTTCCAGATGGGGAGGGTCCCAGGCCTGGCCTCATTCCCTTATGCCCTGCCCTCCCCAAATCCAGCCCAGACCGTGATGGTTAAAGACCTTGTCTTTAATGCCCAAACCCGGGCTCCTCCTCTCACTAACCTCAGTTCCCCTTTCTTCAAAATGGAGGCCTCTTACCCCAGCCCTCAGGCCCCACCCCTCTTATCTCCATCTCTCTAGGTGGCTTTCTTCAGATCCCAGACCTCAGTGCCTCCAGTCCATCCTTCCCATTGGTTACAGCCAGCCGCACAGACGGCCGATTTTTCAGTTTCTCCTTACCCCTCAGTTTTGATTTCTTAATACACCTTTCCTCCTGCCCTCCACAGGCCGGGTTTCTCACCTACCTCAACGCTCGCCTTCTGATAAGGCAGGTCCTCCTATTCAGATCCTCAGATCCCGCCCCATTAAGCTATATACATTTCCCTTCCCCAGCCCAGCTTTTAATGGTAGAATTCCCCAGTCGGGCGCTGTCCCTGGGTTGCTCCCCCCTCACAGCTTCCCAGGTGGCGCTAGCGGTAAAGAACCTGCCTCCCAGTGCAGGAGACTTAAGAGACACAGGGTCGATCCAAGGGTAGGGAAGATCCCCTGGAGAAGGAAATGGTGACCCACTCCGGTATTCTTGCCTGGGAAACCCCACGGACAGAGGAGCCTGGCTGGCTACGGTCCATAGGGTGGCAAAGAGTCGGACACGACTGAAGCAACTTAGCACGCAGAGCCCCTCGCCTCCCATGCTGATTCATTTGGTTTTCCAACCCCAATGCCCTGCCCACCCATGGCCAGGCCCCACCTTCCTGAGAAGCCCCGCCTCCCAATGCCCCTTACCCCACCTTATGATTGGCCAGGACCCCGTGGACGCGACTCACCTCCTCCCAAACCCCGCCCCGTCACATTCAGGCCCCGCCCCTTACCGGGCCAGCTGCAGCCACCGCGGCGAGCCCCGGGTTATCGCGGTCGTCGCGAAAGTCGGGCAGCGTCTCGAGGCAGAAGACGACGATGGAGACGAGGATGACAAGCACCGAGACGACGGCGAGGACACGCGCCGCCTGCGAGCTCTCGGGGAACTCGAAGAGCAGCCAGAGTTGGCGCGCGAAGGCGTGGCGGGGCAGGGGGCGCTCGGTAGGCAAGGGGCAGCCCTCATCCTCGCGCAGGCGCGCTAGCGCCGCGCCGCCCAGCCCGTAGAAGGCCACCTCCTCCAGGAAGACGTCGAGCGGCACGTGCGCCGGCCGCCGCAGCCGCCCGCCCGACTGGTAGTAGTAGAGGACCGCGTCGAAGCTGGGCCGATGCCGATCGAAGAAGTACTCGCGGCGCGCGCCGTCGTAGAAGCGGCTGCGGCGCACCGGGTCCCCGAGCAGCGTGTCCGGGAAACGGCCCAGCGTGCGGGCCCGGGTCTCGAACCGCAGCCCGGCCACGTTGAGCACCACCCGCTCGCAGCAGCCGCAGGGCGGCGGGCACCCGGGCTCCATGGCGCGCGCAGCCCCGGCGACCCGCGGACGGACGTGTGGCCCCGACGCCCGACCCGGCCCGGCCCGGCCCCGCCTCGGCCGCCGCCGCCGCCGCCCCAGCCTGGTGTCCGGTGTCCACGCGTAAAAATAGCCCGGCCGCGCGGCCAGGGCGCGGGGGAGGGGGCGCCGTGACCCCGGCGGGGCAGAGGGCGGCCGCGCGCCCTCTGCCGGGGCGCCCGCCCTTCCGCCTGGCCGCCGCCGCGCTGGGGTTTCTCCGGGTTCATTCCGCCTTCGGGGCCCCTTTCTCTCCGTCTCCCCATCTCCTGAGACCTCTGTTCTGCGGCCCTCCGGGTTTTCGTGTGTGTGTGTGTGTGTGTGTGTGTGTGTGTGTGTGTGTGGTCTATTTTTTTTTTCGTCTATTTTGTTAAATGAGCATCTGAATGCCTCTGTTTGGAGTCACAGATTTCCATCTCTCTCATTCTTTTCTGTGTCTCTGCTTCTGGCTATGTCTTTGCTTTGGGTCTCTCTGATCTCAGGGATGTATCTCTGAGTTATGTCTCTGGGTCATTTTTCTCTGGGTTTTTGCCGTTCTAGAGTCACCTGTGTCTGGGGATTCCCGGCAGTCTGTGTCTTGGTCTCTCTGAATCTCCGTCTTCAGTTTGATTCTTGTATCACTATCTCTCTTTATTTCTTGTTGCTCTTGGTCGCTGTCTTTCATCTCTGCCTAGGTCTCTCTCCTTCTTGTCTCTCCGGCTCTCTTCTCTTATTATCTCTTAGCTCTCTGTGTCTCTGTCCCTGGGATTCTCTGGGGCTCCCTTTCAGCTAGCTTTCTTTCCTTGTCTCTGAATTACTGCAAGTCTCTGCCTCAGGGCTTCCGGACCACTGAGCCTCTCCGGAGTCATACGTCTGAATCTCTCTCTGACCATCACTCTAGGTTGGCTCGGCCACTGTCCTGGTGGTTGCCCCATCCTGGGGACGTTCCAGCAGCCGCTCATGGGCATGAGCCCCCCACACCAGATCCCCTCGCTCTCCTCTCCCACCCCCACCCCAGGGTCTCTACCTGGCTTCTCTGCCAGACTTCCTGAGCCCCAGCAAGGCCTGAGCTGGGGCCCTGAATAGTGCTAAAGAAGGCCGGGCCTGCCAGGAACAGGTGGGGGGTGGGCTGGGGAGATGCTGCAGGGTCACTCGAAGGGACCAAAGGACAGACCGACGATGGCCTTCCAGCCACTGGTGTCCTATGACACCGGGTAAAAATAGCCCCATCGGATGAGCTTGGAGGGAAGCAGTGGGGATTGGACACCCAGACTCCTGGGCATGAGTCCCCAGGCGCCCTCTGCTGGGGGAGAGGAGAGAGCCACTAAAGGTTTTAGCTCCCTAGGAATTTTGGCCCTCTTCCTGTCTACAGTTTTGCGATATTTTGTCACCATCCATCTGGGTTTGTGTCCTTCTCTGTGTATCTGTGTCCCTTTCTTGCATGGTCTTTGACCCTCCCCGTGAGTGAATCTCTCTCCCTCCCACCCCCCTCCCATCTCTCTGGCCTTTTCCCTTCTCTCTGGTCTTTTCTCTCTCTCTTTTATTCTTCTCATTCTCAGAACTCACAGAAGCTTCTCTTTGTGGGTTTCTGAACATTTGGTATGAACAGATCCTTCCTCCTTCCTTACACCCTCCCGCTACTGAGCCTGGAGGTGGGCTCACTCTTTCTTTCACCTCCAGAAAATTCTCTCTTCTTTCACTTTCAGAAAATTCTCCCTTCCTCAGCTCCTCTGACACTCAAGCTATCCATGGACTCCTCTCCCCAGCCTTCCCTAAAAACTCATCCTTCCCCCTTCTGGCCACTCCCACTCTTTCAGGGAAGAGTTTCAATCCTAGCTCCATATTCATCATTCTAAAACTACTGTCATAGGAAATTCCCTGGAGGTCCAGTGGTTAGGATCCGGCACTTTCACTGCTGAAGGCCAGGGTTCAATCCCTGGGAGAGGACCTGATATCTCACAAACTGCACAGCAGCCGAAAAAAAAAGGAAAGCTACAGTCATCCTTGGAAGGGATGCTATGTGATTTTAGAGGTTAAATCATAAAAGGCAACCTTCAACCCCACTCTTTTCCTTAGGACACTTGTGCAGGCCAGATGACAAGGCCCATGTGGAGAGGACGCTAAGGCACTAAACTTGCAGCTAATGAGCAGCATCAGCCTGCGGCCACGTGAGTGAGCCATCTCAGAAGCACATCCTCCTGCCCCAGCTAGGCTACCCACTGGAGCACAGATAAGTCTTCGCCCCCAGCCCTGCCCAGCTCGTAGCCTTGTGAGCAAAGTGAATGGTCTTTGTTGTTTTCAGTCACACAGTCTTTGGGTGGTTTGTTACACACACCATGATAATAGATAATCCACATGTGGTATCTTGGTACTCTGAGCCTATCATTTCCATCCGATCTACCCCAGCCTCCTCCCTTCCTTCCTTCCATTTAAAGTTTTATCAAACTACAGTTCACTCATTTCAGTTCACACAGAGGACTTCCCTGGTGTCCAGTGGCTAAGACTCTGTACCTGCCACCCCCCCACACACAAAAAAGACTCTGCACTCCCAATGCAGGGGGCCTGGGTTCAATCCTTGGTCCGGGAACTAGATCCCTCATGCTGTAAGGAAGACTGATGATCCTGAGTCCTGCAACAAAGCTTTGTGCAGCCTAAATAAATATTAAAAAATAAAAGGGGCTTCCCTGATGGCTCAGATACTGAAGAATCTGCCTGCAACACAGGAGACCCGGGTTCCATCTCTGGGTTGGGAAGATCTCCTGCAGAAGGGAATGGCAATCCACTCCAGTATTTTTGCCTGGAAAATGCCATGGACAGAGTCTGGCGAGCTACAGTCCATAGGGTCACAAAGAGTCAGACACGACTGAGCGACTAACACACTTTGAAAAAATAAAGTATACAACCCAATGGCTCCTATATTCATGAGTTTTGCATCCATCACCACAATTGAATTTAGACCATTTTTGTTATCCCCCCAGAGAAACTCTACACCCTTATCTGTCACCCCTTAATTGAACCAGCCACAATTTGGAGGTAATTTGCTACAGCAGTAACAGGAAAATAAGAGACGGTCTCTCCTCTTCCTTGGTATCATTCTTGTTCCTGTGTTACAATAAGACCTTTTTTTAAAATTTGTTTTACTTTTAATTTTGAAATATTTTCAGACTTACAAACAAAAAAGAGCAAAGATAGCACAGAGAATTCATGATAGCCTTCACCCAGATTCTCCTAATGTTAGCGTCTTACATTTCCATGGTTACTTTGTTGAAGAAACTGACAACGGTACAATACTATTTACTAAATGATGTTCAAATTGCCTCCATTTTTCCAATTAATGTCCTTTCTTCCTTCTAAGATCCAATCCAGAATACCATGTTGCATTGAGCTTTCATGTCCTCTTAGCCTCCTGCAATTCTGCAAATTTTTTTTTTTTTACTTTTTCCTTGTCTTTAATCACCTCAACACTTCTGAAGAATACTGTTCCTACTGAGGGTCAGTGGACCATTCCTCAGTTTGCATAATAAGAGTTCTGCCAAGAGAATGCATTGGTCATAGCAAACACCCTTTTCCAACAACACAAGAGAAGACTCTACACATGGACGTCACCAGATGGTCAACACCAAAATCAGATTGATTATATTCTTTGCAGCCGAAGATGGAGAAGCTCTATACAGTCAGCAAAAACAAGACCGGGAGCTGACTGTGCTCAGATCATGAACTTATTGCCAAATTCAGACTTAAATTGAAGAAAGTAGGGAAAACCACTAGACCATTCAGTTATGACCTAAATAAAATCCCTAACGATTATACAGTGGAAGTGAGAAATAGATTTAAGGGACTAGATCTGACAGACAGAGTGCCTGATGAACTATGGGCAGAAGATTGTTCGCAATTGTTCGCAAGATTGTTCAGGAGACAGGGCGCAAGATCATCCCCAAAAAAAGAGATGCAAAAAGGAAAATGGCTGCCTGAGGAGGCTTTACAAATAGCTGTGAAAAGAAGAGAAGCCAAAAGCAAAAGAGAAAAGGAAAGATATACCCATTTGAATACAGAGTTCCAAAGAATAGCAAGGAGAGATAAGAAAGCCTTCCTCACTGATCAGTGCAAAGAAATAGAGGGAAAAAATAGAGTGGGAAACACTAGAGATCTCTTCAAGAAAATTAGAGATACTAAGGGAAAGTTTCATGCAAAGACGGTCTCAATAAAGGACAGAAATGGTATGGACCTAACAGAAGCAGAAGAGATTTAGAAGAGGTGGCAAGAATACACAGAAGAACTGTACAAAAAAGATCTGCAAGATCCAGATAATCACGATGGTGTGATTACTCACCTAGAGCCAGACATCCTGGAATGTGAAGTCAAGTGGGCCTTAGGAAGCATCAGTGTGAACAAAGCTAGTGGAGGTGATGGAATTCCAGTTGAGCTATTTCAAATCCTAAAAGATGATGCTGTGAAAGTGTTGCAAATATGCCAGCAAACTTGGAAAACTCAGCAGTGGCCACAGGACTGGAAAAGGTCAATTTTCATTCCAATCCCTAAGAAAAGCAATGCCAAAGAATGCTCAAACTACCGCACAATTGCACTCATCTCACATGCTAGCAAAGTAATGCTCAAAATTCCCCAAGCCAGTCTTCAACAATACATGAACTTCCAGATGTTCAAGCTGGTTTTAGAAAAGGAAGAGGAACCAGAGGTCAAATTGCCAACATCTGCAGGATCATCGAAAACACAAGAGTTCCAGAAAAAAAAAAAAAAAAAAGAGTTCCAGAAAAACATCTATTTGTACTTTACTGACTATGTCAAAGCCTTTGACTGTGTAGATCACAATAAACTGTGGAAAATTCTGAAAGAGATAGGAATACCAGACCACCTGACCTGCCTCTTGAGAAATCTGTATGCAGGTCAGGAAGCAACAGTTAGAATCAGACATGGAACAACAGATTGCTTCCAAATAGGAAAAGGCTGTATATTGTCACCGTGCTTATTTA